CAAACAACAATTAATCATGGTACATGGCTTTATTGTTTTTTTAAATATTCTCCATGAAGATCGACACACTTTTGCATGCACTTGAACCAATTTTCGAAGCATTTTTTTCACTCCGATTGAGGCACCTCCAAAACATGCATTTTGAACGCATCAACCGCTTCTAAAGACCCACACAGTCGACTGCTGTTTACTTTCAGGTTCATACGCATAGATCCATGAAACGTCACCTGTTACAATGTCATGAACATGTTTTGAAGCACCGCCATCGTATTTTTTAAGCATTTCTTTTGACCACTAGACCCGAGACCTTTTTTGATTGATTCTCAAATTATGTGGGATCCAACGGTAACAATTTTTTCTGAAGGCCAAATGTTCATTTAATATTGAATGTATGCTGGTCCCACTAATGCCCAAGGATGACCCAATCTCACGATATGTCACATGATGATCTTGCATTACCAGTTCACGCACAGCATCAATGTTTTTTGCAAGAACGAGTGATTTTGGACGACCTTCACGAAATTCGTCGGTGACCGAACCACGGCCACGATTAAATTCGGAACACCACCGATATTCACTTGTTTTTTTATGGCACTTTGTAGCCAAAAGTCACATTAAGTTCATCGATGCATTATTGTTGGGATAATCCACGTTAAAGTTGTAAAAATTATAGCACGAAAATGTTCACGGGTCAATTTCATTTTTTTGGCCGACATTAATTTTTCAAGTGACTGTTAATAATACTAATTGCGCCCGCACGTCAAAACGTGTTAAGTAAGAACACCGTCTAAAAGGTCGAACTTAACGATACAGACATCTGTTGTCCGATAGCATCAGCAGGTTCGGCCATTCCCGAAATATAAAAGGCAACCCTCGTACGATAAAGGACGTTTTAAAGGTGGGAGTAGAAAAAAGTAATTTTAGCTCCATCTATGGCGATTATTTAAAATAAATATGTAAGAATTGTATGTTTTATATAATATATTATTTGTAATATATAATGTATAATACGTAATATATAATACATTATCTTATAAAACTAGATAAAAGAATATATACTTTGTAAAACACGTTAGTATTATGCCCTTTGAAGGCCTAACTTAATTTGCATGTAGAAGTTTATATATCAAATAATAGTTAATTATGAGTACTTTAACGTGATATACTCAAAATTATAAAACAACATTGCTTCTCCGACTTTTTAAACCTTAAACAATGGTAAAATTTTAAATTACATTGTCCCCAGCGAACCCTGTGTGTTAAAATCTTTAAAAAAATAATACGTGGATTTATTTACAATAATAAGGTCTACATTTTATGTTATTTTCAAATCGATACGTTTTTAAATAAAAATTTTATTACAAAATATCGAAATTTATCTATTTTTAACACAGTAGACTTGAAATGGATGGATGAAATTATTTTTTTCTACGACCACTATGTAAAAGTCACTTTTCATGATGGCATCGTTGCTTAGAAAATTAATCTTTTCATTGGCAAGGCAAAACACGAATGCTTATGTTCTGTGCACGAATGTAAAGTGACATTTCTGTGTGAAAATTGACAGGTCTGTGTAAAAAGAAACGGAAAGCATCGTTTGACATTCAGCTGTCAAAAAAGTTTTTAGGTTATTTTGTTTTGTATTTAAAAATAATAAAAAATAAAAGGGTCGCAGAAAAAACATTGTGTTATACTTTTGAGAAAAGCTTTCTTCAAGCTCGTGTTAATGCACACTCGGCCTAAAGGCCTCGTGGGCAGCTTAAAAACTCGCATGAAAAAGTCGCTTTTCAACACTTGTAAAACAAATAACTATTTTTGAAAAAAAATGCATCATTTAGATGTGGAAACAAGGTTAAAAAATATATTCAATTCTGGCATCACTTGCAAACAAATGTCCAAAATTTGTTTGATTTTTACGCGAAACCATAGTTAACAACTTATTTGACATTAAAAAATTATAATTTTAAAAATTTTTTTGCCACCCGGTTGAATTATTCTTAGTGAATTAAAATAAAAGGAATACGTATTATAATCATAATATTATGATTTTATTCAGCGTCGGAAATTCACTTTTTTCTTGATATCAGTGTACGGATATTATCCGTAAAAATTTGTAAATTTTTTGAAAAATTGACTTGCATATTCAGGGCTCCCACACCTCCTAAAATTCCTAAAATTTTGCTTAAATCTTGAAAACTCCTAGAATTCTCCTAAAATTGCCTTCAATCTCCTAAAACTCCTAAAATCCTAAAAATTAAATTTAAATAGGCCAACCTGACTGAGTTTAATTAAGGTAGTGCTAAAAAAATTCTTTTTTAAAAAGTAATTTAAAAATATATATATTTAGGTTCTATTTTATTAAATTCTTTTTAAAATGATATAATATCACAACTAAAATTTTTCTTTAAAAAAAACATAAAAACTTCTACAAAATTGTCATTTTTAGCTATATTTCGTTTTTAGTCAAAAATATACCATGTTATATACCAAAAAAAAAGGATTTTTAATTTTCTTTTAAATGACAGCTGAAATAGTAAACAATCTAAAGAATGTTTTGCTGTATTTTGCAAACTTCATATTTTGTTATGAGATTTGAATCGGTGCACTTAACTTTAAAATTGATTTTAGAAAATAAATTGTCAAAATTAAATTTTTGGACTGTTTTTATTCCCACCGCGGTGGGAATAAAAACAGTCCAAAAATTTAATTTTGACAATTTATTTTCTAAAATCAATTTTAAAGTTTAAAATACATTTTTGTTAGAAGATATAAATTATTTTACAGAATATGAATATTATATTTCATAAAATAGTTAAAATATTCTAACAAAAATGCATTTAGAACTATAAAACTGATTTTTTGAAATATTTATCAAAAATTTTACTTTTGGACTTGTACTATTCTTAACCTTATCGATTTAATTACTGTTAGTTATTAACTAAACAGTTAACATGTTTTTTCTTAAAATATAAAGATAACATCATTTGATTTTGGCATTAACCAAATCTATCGACGCATTTTTTTAAATAAAATTAAAAGTGTGGTGAAATTTATACTTGTATATATAATATATTATATTATATATTATACATATTATGTACCTCAGATATATACAAAAGTAGTAATTTTACCTCACTTTTAATTTTATTTAAAAAAAAACTCGTCGAGCGATTTGGCTAAAAAACTAGTCAATATAACTTATTTTTACAAAAGAAGTATTAATTTTAGTAGTAAAGAGATGTTTTTATTTAATTAAAGAAATTCATTTCCATACTTTATTTCTCCTAAAATTTTACAAAAAACCTCCTAAATTCCTAAATAAAATTTGTAATTTAGCCGTGGGAGCCCTGCATATTTTGGTATTACCCTTTGAATAAAATTTAAAAAAATGTAAGTAATTTTTTCTGAAAATTCAACAATTTTCCCGTTTTTTCCCCCGAAAAACATTTTTTTCCGGAAAAAAACGGTTTTTTACGCCGCACAGTATTTCAATTCTCGAAATTTTCGGCAAAATATCAAGGAGTAGTCGGATTCTCCAAAAAATCCGTATATAGCGGTTTTTGGGGTCGCTGATAAAGAATCTTGAATCATAATTCCAAAATACAAAATGGTATATCCAAAATGGCGGACATATTTGTCAAAAAATTGACGGAATAAATTGAAAATCACCATTCGAAATGGTGGACCTCATGGCAGACATTTTTATAAAAAATTGTCGAAATTAATTAAAAACCCGTAAATTTCAAAAATTATTTATAAAATTTAAATAAAACAGATTGTATACTAAGTATTTTAAATTTTTACGATTTCTTAATTCGCTAAAAAAATTGTCGACACAAATAACCACATTTCAAATTTGACATTAACACACTACAATGCGCATGCGGAGTTGTTTTAACGCAATTACAAAAGGTGGGTTAAATATGTAAAATCGGTGTTAAATATCTTAGTAGTCACCAACGATTTACGCAAGTGAAAGACACCGCTGTTGTAATAAACGTTTTGAGTTAAATCCGAGTGAATCGAGTAAACGTCATAAACACAACCCAGAAATAAAAAAAAAATCTTATATTTTGTAAAGCAAAAACACAGATACGCGCGCGACATAGGCTTAAAATCGCGAGGTTTTTTACCACAACCCTGCCTGAGCGCCCAAGAACTTGTAGTTTTAAAGAGCCGGGGGCGAGTTGGGGCAGATAATTTATTGATGGCTTGATAGACAAAACTCTAAGCTATTTAACGGATCTTGAACTGATGCCTTACAATTCATTACAATTTTTGTAGCTCCATTTTTCTAAAAGCTCGATTCAAAGTTTGCGATTTTAACAGACCGATCTTGTCGGTTACAATAACCCGTTGTACAAGCAAAATCTAAACTCTAAAAGATCGATGGGTTGGTGTAAACCATAATGAAATTAAGGCAAGTTTGAATAAATAAGGTTTATTAAAGTCTTTTTATATTTTAAAGCACATTTTAATTTCAAATGTCAAACTGACAATTCGTTAAATCCTAAAATTCATTATATTTTCACTAAATATAACTCGTGGTGTGATTAATAATCGATTATATTTACTCATTGAAACCGAAGCAGCACATTTCACTCGTCCTGCGGACTCGTGAAATCTGCAGCACGGTTTCAATTCGAAAATATCATCGATGATAATCATACCACTTGTTATATTATGGGTGAAAATATACGTATTTTATATAATTTTTTTTCAATTCAGTATGGAGACAGGTATTAACTACCCATCTAACTCAAAATTTACCTGAAAAAAAATGTCAATTTTTGAGGTTTTGCCGATATTTTCGATAATTGAAACACTGTGCGCCGGCTCAATTTTTCCGGTAATTTTAAAACCCTTATCGAGAGATACGATATCTGAATAATCTCTGTAAGATATCTAAAATACATCTTAGCCCTCTATAAGATATCGGAAATAAGATATAAAAGCCATTATCTATGTCTATTAACTCTTAAATTATGTTTTTCTTGCAGACCTACAATGCTCAGCATAATGCACTTCTTCCAAACGTTTCTGCATATGGTCCAAATGGTGCTCTCCTACTTCCTGATGTTGATATTCATGACGTACAACGTGTGGCTTTGCATAGCGGTCGTGCTAGGCGCTGGCGTCGGCTACTTTCTGTTCGGTTGGAAAAAATCGGTCATAGTCGACGTGACCGAGCATTGCCACTAGCACGAACTGAGCCAAGCGATTTAGTACATTTTAGACGTATTCTTTAAGTTTACAGTATACTTTTCTTGTATTATATTATAGAATGGAGACTACCTTGATTGCTCACCGCAATTTTAACTATGTATTTTTGTATATACGACGAAAAAATCAATGATTAAAAAATGTAAAACTTTAAAGTGTTTTATGTTTGAGAGTTTTTAAATGACAAGTAATTTAGGAATGTGTGGGGGATACGTCGCAGAACTTTTTTTCTGTAGGGTAGTTTTAAGTACTTCTTTTTGGACAATATGTTTTGCTGTTAAAAATTGATCCCACTATACTCACATAGTTTTAGCATTATATGCAATTTATACATCAAGATAAGAACAAACTGGACCAAAATCAAGACTAAACAGAAAAATGTTTTTATACAGGGTATGTCTAAATAACCCCTTAAGCCATTTTTATATGCCATATAATCATTTTTGTATGGTATTGGGCAGTTTTTAATTTTAATATGGTAAATACTTGTTTCTGTACAGTCATTAAAGCATTTAAAATTTGTTATGGTTATAGAACATTGTCCAAAAATGTACTTAAAACATTGTAATTTTTTGCAACCAGATTTTTATTTTTTTGCTACCGCCTAAGTGCTTAAAAAAGCAGGGTTTCCATTTTAAATATAAGCAAATTTTAGCTAAAAATCCTTGAAGGAAAATTTGTTAACTAATTCTTACATAATTAAAATTTGAAGTATTTTAAATTACAGAATATTAAATTTTTAAATATACAAATATTTATCGACAAGTTAACATTTTTTTCCAGTAAGGCTTAGTTTAACCTGGGGATTACTAACAGAATTCATATTTTTGTTTTGCAATTTATTTTTATACACACATAAGTAAATATTTCAAGTTCCAGTGTAAATATTCAATTCTTCATATATTTTTAAGACTGATTTCTCTACAACAATTTTCTTGTAATTCCTCAGATTTACCTTTAAAAAATTTATATAAGTAGTAGTGGTTTAATTTTTTTCTATTGAAATATCGTGTTTTTGGTACAATGTTTATACAGCTTATTATACAAATTGTTAAAATTCGCATAAAATACAGCCATTTTTATGTAGGTAATTTCTCTCTGTTACAATTTGAGATTGGTTTTTTATTTTTAGGTATTTTTATCTAACTTATTATAATATAAATCTGTGATTAAAAATTTAATTATCAATAAAATATCTCTAGCAGCAAAAAGTGTTTTTTAAATCCAAAAACCCATATTTGTGTGATAACTTGGTCTTTTAGAAGTATAGTTATTTATGTCATAAGGGCAAAAAGTGAGCTTTTTGTGCTGAGCTAAAAGTTTTATGGCCAGAATTTCAACCTATTAACATTTTTTGCATTATTATCTTTTTTCGCGAACAAAGATTGTTTTTTTTGGTTATAAATCAAATTTAAAACCTAAAAGAAAACTCAGTATTGGTGAATTGCAATATTTATTTATTTATTCAAGATTTTCATACAACATATATTTGGTAAAAGAAATGAAACTTAAAAATCGAATGCATTTCTTTTACTTCACAAAAGATTTACTTATTCTATGTAAAAACATTTATTAACCGTATTAAAGACTGTCGTAAAATATTTACCGAAAAATAACAAAATGTATTATTACAGTCCTCACATAGGAAAAAAAGATTTTTATATTATTATTGTTTACAATTATTGTATCCGATATATTAATATTGTCTAATTAAGAATTTAGAATAGATACTTTTTTAATATTCTCTCAACATTTGGCACATTGTGACTAACATACGATTATTAGTTTTATTGAGATCAAATAGTAAATCACAATTGTCAAACATACACAAGTCTTGAATAGAAAAAAACTTTAAGTAAGTATCACAAAATGACAAATTATACAACTTTATTTATAAGATATATGCTAATAAAGGTAACTGCGAAAATGACAAAATTTAACATTTTTTGGGGAACTACCAAAACCTCATTGGATTTTTAGATACCGACGCTAATCTTAAACTAGTTCTATTTTTTTCTTCATTTTTTTACCCAAGTATAGGCAACGATTTATACAATAATTTTTTGACATTTACAACAAAACCCTCCCTTTAATTTTCGTTGCATTCATTAGAAAAAGGCTTATTTTAAGAAGAAAGACCCGTTAATGATATGTATGTTTTTTATTCACAAGTTTTCATTAAACTTTTTAAGCGTTTTTTTATTTGCGATGTAAAAAACATCGTCAAGAAAATTAACTTGGTTAAAAAAAGTTAACATCTTAAAAAATACAGTGTTTTTTTATTCAAACACGATTTGTGATACATGAGATGGATTTTATTGTCAATTTTTTTTGAATTTTTTTTATTGTATCACAAATTTAAAAACACAAAATATTATTAAACAAGAACTAAAATACTGTTTTTTTGTCCGCTGGGCGAGTTTTTATAAATATTTCGCCGCGGAACGGTTTTATAGTTTTTTGATATTTTTTTGTTATTATACATAATAAAACTTTGAACACAAAATAAGACATCACAAATGAGAGAGCATTACCGAAATAATAAGCCTCAATAGGTACTCGGTTTCAATAATGTTTATAACGTAAATATATGAGTTTTTTCTTATTTTTAACTTACAATAATTATAATTGATTGAACCTAGAACGAGTATTACAAATAAACCTACAAACATAAATTATAACTTCCGTCAATGTCAGGGTTTTAAGGAAGAAAAAATCCCGCCCAGAATAACACTTCTGACCAAAATCGCTTGCATTGGAATAATTTTTTTACGTTAATGTACACATTTTTTTGATTTTTTTAGCAATGTTAACGACAAAAAATACTTGTTCCATTTCAGCGGTACATTTTGTTATATTGCTATTTTGAAAATTGGTAATAATAATACGTATTTTTTAAATATAAAAAATTAGACTTAAATAAGATATTCGAAAAATTGCATTACGGGATTATAAGAATAAATGATTTATTGAAATTAAGAAACATTATTATTCAAAATAGAAAACGTTGAAGTGTATAAAAAAACGTATATATTTGAATTTCTGTAAAAATTTATAAAATAACATTTCGAAAACCTCGAAAATGTTTTTAATTTTGTAAAATTTCAATAAGAACCCTCAAAATTCTACAATTAATTAGACTCACAAGTTTTGTAAATTTGTAAAAAGGTCGATTTCTTCCCAAAAATTCATGTTTGAACTGCAAAAGGGATTTTACAAACAAAATCGCCTTAAAAAACGCTACGATAAAATTGACAAAACAGTGATGGTAATAAAGTTACATAGTTAATATGATGTTCTAAATAAAATTAATATTTTTATCAAAAACGACTTTTTGTGGCTGTGCCACTCATTTTTGTTTTGTGTATTTTTTTTTACTTCCGACACTGAAAAATTGGTTCTTAGGCACCTCTAGAAAGTGCTCACTAAATTTGAACTCTTAATATTAATAGAAAGATATTCCTCATCACAGTTTTCCATTTTATCATTATTCCCGTATAAAAAGACCATATTTCATTATTAATAAAATCAGTATACATATTTTTGTAGGAAATGGGATGCTCTACAAAAAAGGGCTGATCTGTTTAAGCGATTACTCTACCCATTTAAAAGATATTCAAGATCAAAGTTTGAAGAATTTATTAAAAAAATATATATTTAAAATGGTTAGAGTAATCGCTAAAACAAATCAGTTCTTTTTGTGGAGCATTCAATTTCCTACAAAAATATGTTTAAGTATTTCATTAAACGATTGATTAATAATGAAATATTGTTTTTTATAAGGAACTAAAGAAAACATGGAAAACTGTAATGTAATATTAGGAGCTTAAACTATGGTGAGTACTTTGTAGAGGAGCCTAAGAACCAATTTTTCAGTGTCAACGGTAAAAAAATATATATTAGATTTTTTTGAATCACCGTAATCAGTATGTAACCTAAGTTTTATTGAAAAAAATGAGTGTTAAAGCCCAAATGAAAATATTAATTTCATAACTTTTTGAGTTTATAGTAAAAATGTGTTTTTAACGCGATTCCAATAATAAATTTAGTTTTGTGGTTAAAAAATGCATTTTTGTGAGGTGAGATTTTACAAATTCACAAAATTTTTGAGCTATAAAAAAATCCTTGTAAGAATCTTTAAATATTACCGTAGAAACCTTTAAACGTGAATGTTTACTAGACTGGGCCAAAAAAATTGACTATTCTTTTTTTTGAAAAATATATCGAGAATGTCATTCAGAATGACAAAAAAAAAATTCGTGAAAATTTGAGCCCTTAACATTAATTTTAAGAGGTCTATCATCGCTACTTTTGATTTTTAGTCATAATTTGATGTTTTACGTTAGAACTGTCAAAACATTAAAGTGAAAAAATTCCTTTTCACTTATTTTTATATAAAATTAAATTCTCTACAAAAAAGGTCTGATTGAAAATTTTCGTCAGACGAGCCGTTTCCGAGTAATTGAGCTTAATAAATCAATGTGTTTTTCGATTTGCCCTTTTTACTTTGAAATTTTGTAACTAATGAATCAATGAATATTTAAAAAAGCTCACGTCGGATTCTTAATGTTCTACAAAAAAGGTCTCCTAACATTTTTGCCTAAATTTAATTCTTCAAAAGTTATACACGAAGAAAAAATTGAAAAAATTGAAATTGAAAAGTTTTTCTTCGGTTTTAATCGTGAATAACTTTTGAAGAATTAAATTTAGGCAAAAATGTTAAAAGACCTTTTTTGTAAAACATTAAATTTCATTTAAGAATCCAACGTGAGCTTTTTTATATATTCATTGATTCATTAGTTACAAAATTTCAAAGTAAAAAGGGCAAATCGAAAAAATACATCGATTTATTAAGCTCAATTACTCGGAAACGGCTCGTCTGACGACCATTTTCAATCAGACCTTTTTTGTAGAGAATTTAATTTTATATAAAAATAAGTGAAAAGGAATTTTTTTCAATTTAATGTTTTGACAGTTCTAACGTAAAACATCAAATTATGACTAAAAATCAAAAATAGCTATGATAGGCCTCTTAAAATTAATATTAAGGGCTAAAATTTTCACAATTTTTTTTTTGTCATTCTAAATGACATTCTCGATATACAGGGTGTTTCATAATATATGCGCAGGACTTCATCCAAAAAGATGAAAAAAGTCGCTATTAACTTACCCTCTAAAATGCACAATTTTCGAGATACAGGGTGTTGAAATTTTAGAAAAAAAATCGTTTTTTTCGATTATCTCTGGAACCGTTTGTCGTACAAAAAACAGCTTTTGTAAGCATTTTCTACTCAAAATAAGCTATGTTTTGTGCCAGAAAAAATTTTTTTTTACTCATAATTGGTGGAGATTTTGAAGGGGTAGCGGGTGTTTTTCTCCTCAACTTCAACGCCCCTGAAAAAAGGCCCATTCGAACCGCCAATGTTTTCTACACAAAAAAGGTACTCTTGGTCATAAGCTCTAAAGTTGACCGTTTTCGAGAAAAATCAACTTTTATGTTTAAAAACATGGTCAATTTAAAATTTTTTTATTACTAATTAAACAAAATTTATTTGAACGTTAGAAAAAGTAACAAAACCCAAACAATAATTGCAAAATTAAAAAAAAAATAAAAAATGATTTTTTTACACAAATGCTGAAATGTTCGAAATGCCTTACCTTTACGGTTTGGAGAATTTAGCAAAGACAACTTTTGAATCATTTTTTATTTTGCAATTATGGTTTGGTTTTGTTACTTGTTTTTAAACATAAAAGTTGATTTTTCTCGAAAACGTTCAACTTTAGAGCTTATGACCAAGAGTACCTTTTTTGTGTAGAAAACATTGGCGGTTCGAATAGGCCTCTCAAAACCGTACATTTTTCAGGGGCGTAGAAGTTCAGGAGAAAAACACCCGCTACCCCTTCTGGCACAAAACATAGCTTATTTTTTTCTAAAATTTCAACACCCTGTATCTCGAAAACTGTGCATTTTAGAGCGTAAGTTATTAGCGAGTTTTTTCATCTTTTTGGATGAGTTATCACATCCTGAAGTCCTGCGCATATATATTATGAAACACCCTGTATTTTCAAAAAAAAAAAATAGTCAATTTTTTTGGCCGTTGGCATTTGACATTTCAAACATCAAACGTCAAAAATTTTAACTTTGAACAGAAGCGCGGCTCGGGTAACCGCTGCGGCAATGGAATGTTTACAAATACGAACCCGGACTTGGGGTGTACAACAAACAGCTGCACCGATCGGAGCAGGGCGATGATCACCTTTGGTGATGCAGTTGCACCGGCAGGATCGAGCCGAGCATCTTGGTGCGCTCGAGCTCGCGATAAGATTGCGCGACGACGTCCCTGATGAACTTGAACTTGTCGGCGTCGAAGACGGACCGCGCGGTGTTGGTGAAGTCGAAGGGCTCCTCGATGCAGAGGTGCTTCCACTGGTTGGGGTCGTTCTTGGGCGCCTTGGCGAACCGGCACTCCTCGACGGGGAGGCGGCAGCCGGCGCGCACCGAGACCGCGCAGCGGTTGTAGTCGAAGCAGGCGTAGTAGCGCAGGAAGCCGAGCAGCAGCTCGCCCAGGCAGTTCGTGTTGTCCGAGCGGAAATCCTTGATGGCGGGTATTTCCTCCTGCACGTCCATCGTTTGGTGCTCCGAGTCCGAGTTGAATTTATCCGGTACCAGACCGTGAAGACAAGGCAGGACCGGAGGGGTTACGCCGCCTGAACGATATTTTATTCAGTCAGTCAATTAAAAAAGATAATTGACCATATGCAAGGATGTAAATCAGGTCTACCATTTGTAGATAAATTAAATAAATTTGGTTTCAATAAAAATTATTTTTAAATTTTCCGCCATATAATTGTCATTTATTCACTTTAATATATAAGGCCCGTTATTTCCATTGCGAGTTAAGTGCGAGTTACATCTAAACCTAAAGTTAAATTTGAAAATCTATATTTCAATATCTGGATTAGTCTAATTTGTGAGTTAACTCGCGTTTCAATTAACTCGAAGCTCAGGTACAAGTTAACCTGGATATTGTGAATTAACTTAACTAAATGTTGGTTTATTAGGAACACAGCTAATCAAATATTATAATTCTAAATAAAGACATAAAAAATAGTAACGACAAACAATAATAAATGATCTAACAATAATTAATTTTCCTTCATTAATATCTCCATCTTTTTTGTAAAATTTTTATTTTTAATTCATGTTCTTCTGTTAACTTTTCCCTATGAAACCCAAGAAAACTTAGTTTTTCTTGAGTTAATTGTTCGAAAAGTAGTTATTTAAATGCTTGTCCTTGTCTTCTTTTCCCTGTTCTATTAATTTACTGTTAACTGGTTCTTTCAACATTTTGGGGGTGTATTCTGTCCAGTTGTTGGCTTCTCCTGCCCTCCCATCTGTGTTGACCATCCCATCGCTATCGACAAATTAGTGAGTTCATTTTCCATGTTCTTCATGAGGACTGACTCATCTTGATCGCAATCGAAAAGGGAAGTTAAACCATATATTTGATCACCTAATATTTCTTCCAATGTTTTGTCTATTTCGCCCGTATATTAAATTTTACCGGACATCCCCCAGTTTGTCATATACTGTTCCTGTTTGACATTATTTTGACTTTCGATGTTTTTTATACTTATTTATTAGACCTTTTTATCTCGTAATACTCGAACAGGGCTCGTGTTTATCGTTCAAAACCAGATTAAGCAGCAACTGATCTTCTGTTTTACTAAAATTGGTTGGTCTCGATCTGGACTCTTTTTTCTCAATCTTACTCATTTTAGCTGATAATACTTTACCCAAACATTCAAACTATCTAATCCAACCCAATAAACAACGCACTGCGTAGACACCTTTAAAAACTCACTCTATCAGACCGTCCATAGATGGTTTCAAAAATTTAAAATAAAATCCATATATTAATAATAGAATCACGGATACCAACATAAAGATAAACTTCTTAATTTAGAGTTACTAAACTCGGGTATCTTTGGAAAAATCCATCAAAACATAACTTCAAGTTAACTTCGAATTTAAGTTAATCCTAGGTTTACTAACACGAAAGTTTACTCGCATTGGAAATAACGGGCCTAAGTAACTTTAATAAACTAAAATCTACTCAAATATTAAAGTGAATAAATGACAGTTATTTGCGAAAAACTTAAAAAATAATTATTTTGGAACCAAATTTATTTAATTTATCTACAAATGGTAGACCTGATTTACATCCTTGCATATGGTCAATTGACAGTGAGTTGCCATATTATTAGGAACAGTCTAACTTTTTTTAATTTTTCAAGTTTAGTGAGAAAATTATCTGAATTGTTGTACAAACACAACCTTAAAATAGAAGATTTTTATATTTGAGTTCTTCAAAAAAAAAACGCCGAAAACTGCATTTTAAACGACAATATAAAGTTCATTTTTTTATCTGGACTGCGGCAACATTACAAATTTAGGGTTTTGGTTGGTAAATACAGTTGTCAAGTTGGTCGCATTCATTAAAACAAACTAAGCTAGTTATAAATCTAATTGTGGTTATGTATAAATTATTGTAGGTTATATTGTGCAGTTGTAAAGTTGAGTTGTCGAAATTCGTAGTTAAAAATGCAATTAATTTGGCTTTGGTGGTGCTTGAATGAGTAAAATCATATAAAAAAAGTAGTTAAATAAATATAGGTTGCTTTACGGGATAATAATCTAGCGGATAATAATCTTCGCTTTGAAAAGAATTTCTATAAAAGAAACTAAAATTTTTTGTGAACGTAAATGTTGTCCAATGGTGAATAACGTGAAAATAATGTGTGATGTAATATTTATAAAACCAAATTCGTTACTTTTTTACTCCAAAAATGTCCATAAGGCGATGTACTTTTTCTTCCATTGTGGCATTTGGCATAATTTCATCAAAATGAAGTTTTGCCCTCAAAAGGGCTTTTACATTCGAATTCGTTGCTATTATTTTTGGCATAATTATCTTTTTATTTATAATTGACAAGTAAATTATCAATAATAAATATTATTGTCAATTTGACAGTGTCAAAGTATTTATAGTAAATTTAAAAGTAAACTACGTACACGTCATCAATAAAACAAAAATTTTACGCATTGGTACCAACACTAAATGACTAAATCGAAGTCTGTAATTGAATATTTGAATGCATTTTAACCAAATTAAGTTGGCAACAATTGTGATGTTGTCATGTTTGCATTCAAATTTTTCATATTTAAATGACACATTTAGAATTTCGAAGCTGTCAGTTGTGTTTTTGAATATTTCGTTTAATTCGTGTATTATTTCGTTTATTTTGTTTGTTGTTTGTGTTATTTTATATCGTTTAAGTTTTCATTGCCGTTTTTGTGTTTGTTATATATCGTTTTTTTGTGTTTCCTATATTTAAAATGCCGAAGCATTTAAATAGTCGGAGTCAAGAGTTGGTGTCATCCTTAATACGCTATTTTGAGGCAGAACGGGATAATAATGGACCTTTGTTACCTTTAACAGCTGTTAAAGAGGTAAATAGGATTATTATTAATTATATATTAGAATATTTAACAAAATATATGTTGGATACATGAAATAATAATATATATACCAGAGACTGACTTTAGATGGCAAAATTTTTGGGTTTTATATCAGAAAATGTCTTTAAAAATGGCTAAAAACATACTTTTGGCGGTGCATATAGGTTATAAAAACTCAGACTTTTGACATTTTGGTATTATTCATGTAAACGCCATCTATCGCCCTGTAGTTGCACTACCACTTTCCCTTGATGCAAGGATTTTAGCATCACATTGACAACCGTGCCCAATCAGCTGATTGATGACGTGTACGTAGTTTACTTTTAAATTTACTATAATTAAATTCTTTAGCAGAAGTACCATTTTTAAATACTAAAAATACTAAGTCAAACTGGCATAAGCCACCAACCTAACAAAAAACAGGAGTCCAGATAAAAAAAATGAACAGTATATCTACGAATTCATGTAACCTATACGAACTATATTTGGGCTGCTGATTTAAAAAATGCCAATCGTTTTGCTCCAGGACGTCTAGGATTCGAAATAATTGCGTAATAAAATGGCCAATTATCTCAAAATGAAAGTTTTTCGTTAATATTTTTATTATTTATTAAATTATTTTGCCTTAAATCTATTTTGGATGTTCAGTATATTTTTGACGTTTTTTGTCAAAAATATACAGGGACTCCATACAAAGTCATTGGTAGATAAATGTCTGTGCTTTATTAAATACCAAAACTAAAATTATAATGTTTTTTTGGTAAAAAGTATTATTTTTTGACATTTTTGTGTCGTTTTTTTAATTACCAATTAAATTGAAAAGGCAACAAAGTAAACGGGTTTCGGTATAAACATTATAATATTACTCTTCGACTATTATTTGATATTTTTTTATTCACATCATGCCTAAAGTACCCAAAAATTTAATCTCAAATCTTATTTATTAAGTCTTATCAAAATTTAATATCGAATTAAAGTATTAAGGCATCTATTCATTTTTGACATTTAAAATTTAAACTTTAAATAACTTAACAATGATTGTATTTTTACTTGAATGTGATTTTAAGAACCAAAAATGAAAAAATAGCAGAAAATGGAAGTGGCAGAGAAAGAGAAAGAAGAACATTTATGTCGTCGTTGTTAATTTGTTTTGTTTTTGTTGCGGTACCTTTACGCCCAAGAAAAACCAACGCAATATTTCATTTCAAAATTTTATGAGATATACCTACTACTTTAATTTTGCAGGAATATTAAATGGACGTTTAATGAAAGATCAAGCATTCAAAAATGCTTTTAAAGTTGACGAGCTTGTCTCATATGGCAGTGTTAAAGCTGCCATTGAAAATGTTCTTGGTTCATATCGGGCCTAAAATTGGCGCCAATTCATTGAAAAAATGCTTTCCGTTTTGCAAAGAATTACCGTTAATATGTCATTTAAAATACATTTTCTTTTTTTTCATCCTGATAAATTTGCCGAACTGATGAACATGGAGAACGATTTCACCTAGTAACTGCAAATCTAGAGCATTGGATATCTATGGGTATAGCGGAATGAAGTTGGATTCATTACTAGGTGACATTTGCTGGAATTTGCAGCAAAAGATGTACGACCATGATGAGGATTAAGCACAATAATACTATAATCCAATTTGATATTTGAAAAGATTTAATAAATTTTACGTAGAAAAAAGCAAAATTATGCAGTGCATTAAATTTTGAGAGCTTAATTTGGATAAAAAACAACAAAGTGTTTGTTTGATATATAACACGGTATATTTTTGTCTAAAATTAACGAAATATGGCTAAAAATGAAAATTTTGTAGAAGTCTAGAAGCCACTACATGGATTTTGTTTTATGGTATATTTTGTTGTTTTTTAAGAAAAATGTAGGTTGTGATACCTATGTATGTAAAACATCAGGGTATTTTACCCTGAATAAAACTAATTTGATTGGCTTCACTTATTATTTATTACTTTTTAACTAAATTTATTAAACTGCTATGATTCGACTTCTACAAATGTTCTGCGGACTCTGCGTTACCATTCGATTTCTAAGCTGTGTCCAGATTGTTTTGCTTAGTAGGCACACGTGCCTTTATTGCTCTACTGTCCTACTTTGGTAAAAAAGGGATTATCCTAACACGGCCATCCTGTTTTCGGAGCGTCCTCGCGCCGTTTCCTTTTCTTTTTTTTTATTTCTGCAAAAAGAAAAACCGAAACAGATTTTTGTTTTTAAAGTTGAAATATATCTAAATTAAAACTAATTTAAAGTCGGATGGTATTGCTATCCTCAGCAGTGGGTAGTAGGATTGCTACTATCTTGTTTTTTTTTTTTGTCGGATGGGTTGCCATCCTCAACAGTGGGATTGCCACTTTCACCGAGGTGTTTAGTCACCTCCCAAGCATAATAGGACTCCTACTATCTTGTCTTTTTTGTCGGATGGGTTTGCCATCCTCAACAGTGGGATTGCCACTTTCACCGAGGTGTTTAGTCACCTCCCAAGCATAGTAGGATTGCTACTATCTTGTTTTTTTTTTTTTTGTTTTTTTTTTTTGTCGGATGGGTTGCCATCCTCAACAGTGGGATTGCCACTTTCACCGAGATGTTTAGTCACCTCCCAAGCATAGTAGGATTGCTACTATCTTGTCTTTTTTTTTTTGTCGGATGGGTTTGCCATCCTCAACAGTGGGATTGCCACTTTCACCGAGATGTTTAGTCACCTCCCAAGCATAGTAGGATTGCTACTATCTTGTCTTTTTATTATTATTATTAAATACAGGACTTACATTTTTTTATTCCTTTGGCCACGGCCTCAGCTGTTCAAGGGCAGCAACTGTGGTCCTCTTGTGCAGAACATATCTCTCATTTGGTAACACCTGTCGAACAGTATAAGGTCCTCTATATTTTGGTTTTAATTTGCCTCCACCAGCAATTTGTGAATCTTCAATGGCTACAACGTCACCAGGAATAAACAATTTTGTAGAGCATCGAGTAGCGATAAATCGTAAAAATTGTTTGTTTGCATTGAAGTTCATTCGATTTCGAGCGTCTTCGACGGCCTTGTCTGCGTCGACAAAATTATCGCGCCCATCCAATAATAATGTCAATATCACTTGGAATTATTTCATCCAGCACAACAATAAAACAAATTTCCTAGGTCACGATCGACAACACAGTTATTAGTTCACACTCTTATAGCATAAACAATTTGGTTCCCAAATCCTGTCAACGCGTGCACTTTTTCGTTCGGCTTAATGATACCGTTCAATGTGTTTACAAGAGAGCGTTTGATGATTGACACATCGGCACCGCTATCAATAACATAACTACATGATACTGCATCGTCTTTACCGAGCACTGTTGCTGTCATTTTTTAAGTATTAATGCCTTTTTTGGTTTTCCACTTTTATACCAACAGTTTATTTCCATATGACCCAAGTAGGAACAATTGACAATTCGCTTTTATTGGCAGAAACAACTTCTTTTCGGGAGTTTTCTTTACGCACACTACGGCATGAGCTTTAATGATGTCCTTGTTGACCGCACTTAAAACAGGCTCCTTTAAAAACCTTTGTTTCTTTTTGTGCACAAAAACTTTTTGAATCCCGTTGATCTTTTCGGTGTCTTCCAAGCTTGTGTTCCATTATTCCAGAAGAACTGCTGATTCGGCGTGCATCGTATTCACTCAACAATTTCATTAGTTCGCGTTCTGTAGTAGGCTTCTGAATTCTAATTGCTGATTGCGCCTCTGCATTATTTAAATTATATTCTACCATGCCCAGAATGGTATCCCATGGCAGTTCATCGTGAAATTTTTTTATTGCACGTATTTTTTTATTACCATAATCACACAATGATTCGCAATCACGACTGCTAAGAGTTGCTGCAGTATACGCTCGTGCTCCTGGTGTTTCTCGATCAGGAAATGCTACAGTTAGGTCATTACAAAAGTTTTCCCAAGTTCGGGAAATGGGTCTCCAATCACAAAAGTATTTGCATGCTCGACGTTTCAGTGCATCTCCTGCTTTTGAGATCATTACAATGTCACTTACATTTAGTTCCCTTTTAAGCTGGGTGACATCATCCAACCAATCTTTGATTGAATAGGCACTTTTATCGGGATCGTAGCTTGTGACATGGAAAGAGTACACATGTCTTGATGAAGACGCATGCGCATTTTCGTCAGATGAACTAGGTGTGGTCCTTGCCAGAGGTGCTTGGGACATTGCCATCTTGGTTTGATTTGCTAACTCAGCAAGTTGTTGCTGTTGCGTCACAACTAAATTTATTAAAGTTTCTTGCCACATTTTGACGCGTTTTGGGGTTGGAGGTTGTGAAATTGCTTCTGCATCTAAATCATCACCACATAAATTGTCATTTTCAACTCTAGATAACTCATCTGCCATCTTGATGCACTCACTCTTTGTCTGCTTTTGTTTATTATAAATTAACTTAATTTAACTCAACTAAACTAATTATTGTACATGGAAATCACTATCCCACTTCTGATGTAAAACATCAGAATATTTTACCCTGAATAAAACTAATTTGATTGGCTTCACTTATTATTTATTACTTTTTAACTAAATTTATTAAACTGCTATGATTCGACTTCTACAAATGTTCTGCGGACTCTGCGTTACCATTCGATTTCTAAGCTGTGTCCAGATTGTTTTGCTTAGTAGGCACACGTGCCTTTATTGCTCTACTGTCCTACTTTGGTAAAAAAGGGATTATCCTAACATCGGTATATTTTTGTCTAAAATTAACGAAATATGGCTAAAAATGAAAATTTTGTAGAAGTCTAGAAGCCACTACATGGATTTTGTTTTATGGTATATTTTGTTGTTTTTTAAGAAAAATGTAGGTTGTGATACCTATGTATATCATTTAAAAAAAAATTTAATAAACTAGAACCCAAAGATATATATTTTTTAAATTACTTTTTAAAAAAGAAATATTTTAGCACAACTACCTTAATTAAACGCAGTCAAGTTGGCCTACTTATAAATAATTTTTAGGAGTTTTAGGAGATTTAAGCCAAATTTTAGGAATTTTATGAATTTTAGCAGGTGTGGGAGCCCTGTATACTAAGCTGGAGTGCTTAATGTTAAAAAAAGTTTGTAAAACTATCATGGTGTAATTAATGATATAAAAAAGTTATGAACTTCTTTTAAGAGGATTAAATATCTTTAATAAGATTTAAAAATTACGGTATGTCCACAGGAACGAAAAAAATGTATTTTACATTTGTTGGAAAAGTTCCTTTTTTGCTTCATTTCAAACCCTTAGAATATGCGATAAATCATTTTTATTGGCTAAGGTTAATATGCAATTTAAATTAAAAAAAAAAAATTATAAAAATAATTTTTGGTCAGCATTCTTTCCAGTGTTTTTTACACTTTTCAATTTTGAACCATTTTGCACAATTAAAAAGTGGGGATATTTAGTTTTCTCTTTTAAATTTTAATCCAATTAAATGGTGATATTTTTTGCTTCTGCTTAAGACTTGTTGTTGTTTTTGACACTAAAACTAGCCCCAATGTTTTAAAAAAATTGTCCACCTTATTTTCTTAATTTTAAAGCACGTTATTTGCAAATATTACCGTATTTTATTATTTTTTTAACAAGAGTCTGGGATTGCAGTCAACCACAGATAAATGTACGACAAAATAAAAAAAAATCATAACTTACATTGTAAAAAGTGTATGACCATCAAAGCGAAGGAATAGCTGGAGACGGTCATGTTCTTGGCGTCGTTGATGTTGTTGATTTGCGCCCATATTTTCACCATCACCACTAACGGCCGCACTCTCCAATCCAACTTGGAATAGCTGAACAACAGGTGGGTGTTGCGGATGCCGACGGAATTGTTGCAGTTAAGATCGACTTCGCAGCCGCTGTCTTTTTCTCGGAACTTTAGGATTGGCACTTTGGCCAAGATCAGTTCGGATTCTACCGCAACTCCTGTGCGATATTAAAAAAAAACAGCGGTTATTATTAAAAAAAAAATGAAAACCTGTCAAAATCAAAAATCGTTTAAACTTTATTATTCCTATTTATCCGAATTTTCATCAAATATCTTTGCCACTATACAGGGTGTTATGTAATTAATGTTATATATTAAAATGGGTTGTTCCTTAGGGTCCATAAAGAAGCACCTGAAACTTTTTTTTTCTAAATTCCAAAGTCTAAAAATAATTTATAATAACCTTTATCCTACCAAAAAGTACGCCACTGATCGACTAGGAACTTTAGGTTAATCTGGTGGATTTATTATGTTATGGTTGGTAACAACAGTATTTCCAAAATCTCTCAAAAAAGTTGACAAACATTGTTTAAATTTAGCTTAATTACAAAAATGACAAAATTAACAATGCAAATTGTCAATTTGGCGTTTTTATTAATTGTTGGTTATTTCATTTTTGTACTGAAGGTAAATTCAAACAAAATCTGCCAACTTTTATGACAGAATCTAGTGCATTTCTTTTAAATTTTAGGTTATGTTTTCAAATTGTAAATATCTTAACTAAGGGAAGTGCTTTTGGATTTATTTACACAAATTAAATGTTTAAAGTTTAACCTGTGAACTGGTCCCAATTTCATCTGAGTAAACAGAGAAAAAAACTGATGAAAAAATTAATTTTGTGGTTATGGATTTCAAATTTCAAAGGTACTAAATTTTCTAATCATTGCTTAAGCTAATAGCTGGATCAGTAAATAAATACAGAAGGGTATTAGAGCTTTAAGGGCATAAAATTTTTGTATTTATTGAGTTTTTATTTATTTTTTGCAAGAAAAATTTTTAGTAACAATTTTTTACATCTGGCAACGCATAGCTACTTTGTTGGTTGGTATCTATGTACTCACAAAATACAGGTGTGCAGAGATAAACAAGTGTGTAACCAGTGGCGTATCACAAAAAATATAAAAAACTTCTAATGCATATTTTTTCTTTATCTTTGGAAAAATGTTTTTTTAAATATTTTTCCTTTATTCCTTATGTCAAAAGGTATTCAGTATTTTAATATATAACATTAATTACATAACACCCTGTATTTTGATACCACGTTTTGTGTTTATAATGGCCGCAATAAGTTATGTAGTAAGTTTGATACATCATTGGATACCTTTGTTTTCTATCAAACCATGTAAAATTTATATATGGGGCCATACGCCAAAAAAAAAATCGGGTTTTCGTAACGCGCGCGCCAAGATACATACACCTTAAGATAGGATGGTGCGCATGTTGGGCGGGGCTTAAATACGTCACTTGATGAGTGTTTTTAAATCTTTAACGGGTTTTTAATTATCTGCTGCTAAAATTCTTGTTTTTGGGATGCTGTGGGATGTTAACTTGCTCTATTTTTTGTTTAACTTGTTGTTTTTGCGTTCGGTAAGGTTCGAATTACTTTTCAGTGTTTAAATTATTGTTATTGCGTTGTGTTAACCTGTTATGTTCGTTTATTATTGTTTTGTGTTGCGTTAACTTGTTTTGTTTGTGTCGTGCCATTTGCATTTATTAAAATGCGGTGTGGCATATTTGGATGCAATTCGACAACCAGTCCAAGAAAAACCCTTTAAATAAAAACATTACATTTAATCGGTTCCCGAAAATCTTTCATTTGTGCAAACAGTGGTTAAATGCCACAAATAGAATAGACAATATTAACGTTAAGACCGCTTCTGTTTCCTATAAACATTTTCTGGACAGTGAGTATAAGTTTATTTTAAAACACCAACGCTTAAACTACAGCCCTAAATGTTATCCAGGACTGAAAGCATCTATTATCCATATTATAACACTTTCTTCAATATTAAATTTAATAAAAACGCACTATGTCCAGATATTTCTCTATTTTCTTTGATAATATTAGTATTATTCGTGAATTCGCACGGCAACTACTCATCAAGTGACGTCATGCGCGGCATGAACCAAAACTCGTACACGGGAGCATCCAGCCCTGCTGTGAATTCAAGAACTGTTAACGATACATTTAAAGCATACGAACTGCAGATCATTTTAAAGTAGTTTATCACAAAAAAAAAGGAAGGTACTCGACAATTTTGTTAATTGCACAGCCAAATCGCGCACGTTATTTGTGTTTCGCGTTGATTTTTTCGATTTATTATTCCTTACATCATTAGTTACACTATAGTTTACAAAATCGAAAAAAAATTCTGTCCACCATATCCCAGTATAATTTTTCCATGTATTTTGACCCACTAAACACGAAAATCACAAAAACAAATTTTATGGAAGCGTTTTTGAAATATGAATTTTCAATTGTTTCTTTTTTAATTTTCCGAGGTGTTTTGACGTTTTTGAGCATAGCTTGAAATCTAATTGATCGATTTGGTCAAACAAGCCCTTAAATTAAAGGTATTTGAACCCTCTAAAACTTTCTTTTACATACTTTTGATATAGGATAAGTATTTTGACGCTAGCGATTTTAATAACTTAAAAAAATCGTTTTATGGCAAAAATTGAGGTCGAAAATTTACATATCGTCCTGGGAAAGGTTTAAATCAAACAGATAACTCTAGTTTGGATTTTTTTCGTGAAGCTAACATTTTTACAAAATAAACAAGTCAATGTTGATAAAAATACATAAAAAAATGGCGAAGTTACGAATTTTTTTGTGGAAGACCAAAATTCTGCTTTTTGACGATTTTTATTATGTTTTTTTTTCTTTTATTTCGTAATATGTTTATTTTTTAATGAAAACCTAATTAAAGTGCATGATTGGAATTTTTTAAGTTTTTTACGTACTTTTTTCACCGAAAATATTATATAAAATTTAAATTTGACATGACTCCGCAAACGTGAATTCTTTTGTTTCTCGTGTTGGCAAAGTGACATTTTAATGATATTTTTTGATGTTTAACAAGGTATTTTTATCATGGTTTTATTTAGTTAATAAAAAGTGTAAAATGAGTAAAAAAAAGTTGAGAGTTCGAGTGCGTAAATAACCCAGACAATCTGGGCGACGTTAGTGATGAGCACGGAGAACGTTTTCATCAGCAAATGAAGGCCATGGAGCGGCGGTATCACGGCTTCTGGGATGCAGCCATGATGGGTGATTACATTTGGTCCCTTATACGAGAAACGGAATACGAAAGCAACAAAAAACAAAAAAGGAGCCAGATTTTAAACCTATGCTTATTACAACAAAATAAAACTTTCAATATCTTTAATGTTCAATATTTATTGTTCAATATTCAATACTCTGGGTATATTTGAGAGGGTTCGTATGACGATAAACAATCGAGTAAGATTGTGCATTGAACAAAATGGACGTAATTTTAAGCAATTTTTGTAAATTCTTAAAATAAAACTTTTATTGTTAATATTAGTTAAAATTAGTTTTTCTTCATATAGTTAGGGAGCTGGTGGCAATTTCGGTATATGATTTGCTCGTCGTTGGGAATGATATGGTATAGAGTTTTGATGCTTGTGAACTGAGTAAATAGGGTGGCAGGCTCAGGTATCGCTGCTTTTTTTTTTAAGTAATTTTTAAAATTGTAAAAAATAAAACCTAACCTAAGTCATTTGCTCGTGTCTGGCATTTAGGTTTTATATTATATTGACCATATTGATGCTAAAATAACATTTGCCAGACGTCTAGGACGCCGCGTTTTTTTTTTAAATAATTTTAAATATGTAAAAAACAAATGCCCTATTAAGTGATTTGCTCGTCTTTATCTTATTTTTTTAATTGTTCATTTGTGTCCCCTAAATAAAAAAATAATAATGCCAGACATGTATGTCTCTGCTTTTTGCAGCAAATAGTTTTTAAAATTGTAAAAAATAAAACCTACTCTCTAAAAATGAATTAGTCAAAAATTACTAATTTAATAGTTAATAGTGGCTGCTTTTTTACTTGTACCATGGTTAACCATGGAATACCATGTTATCCTAAAATTAAATAGTCAATTCTTATGTAAAATTGTCCCCAGAATACAAAAATAAAAGTTAAAAAAGTAGAACAGTTTTTGAGATAAAGTAAATTTTCTATTTAATATGGAATTGACTATATCTTATAAACTGCTTCACTTTCATAATTTTTGACGGTATTTTCGGATTCAGGGGGCAATTTTACATAAGAACTGGCAGTTAAGTTTTGGGATACCATGGTATTCCATGGTTAACCATGGTACAAGTGAAAAAGCAGCCACTATTAACTATCAAATTAGTAATTTTTGACTAATTCATTTTTAGAGAGTAGCCTAAGTCATTTTCCTCGTGTCTGCCATTTAGGTTTTATGTTAAATTGGCTATATAGATACTAAAAAAACATTTTGAGGAGTATAGGAAAAAACGTGCAAAGTCAAAAAACTTAAATTTTTAGAAGAGCAATTTTAAACTTAAATACTGTGTAATCTCTGGGTCCTTTTAAAAAACCAACTGCTTTTAGGAACTCTATTAAAACAACATTATGGTAAACAGTAATGTTAAGTGTCAAAATAAATAATACCATTATCTTTGCTTTTTTAGCTACTATACCAAAAAATATCCAAAATATTCCCTGTAGTTAATTTGTAAAAAACAAATGATCTATGAAATGATATGTCTTATTTTTTAATTGTTAATTTTTGTCACCCAAATAAGATAAAAATAATGCCAGACGTGTAGGTATGTATGCTTTTTGCAGAAAAATATTTTAAATTGCTCATGTTTGTCCCCTTAAATTGACATATTGATACCAAAAAACATTTGCCAGAAGTCTAGGACACTGCGTTTTTCTTTAATAATTTATGATTTGTAAAAAACAAATGCTCGTATTTTTTTTTTTTTATTTATTTTTTTTTGTACCCTAAACCCTATGACTCTATAATTTAAGATGTGAATATCAAGTAAAAAAATAGGCCAGTAATTAGGGATTTAAAAATTAAAAAGTACGATAGTTTTTAAATTTTGAGACAATATTTGAGAAGGGATAAAAGTTTAGTTTTGCACCCTATTCGACCCCCCGGAAAATTTAAAGAAAAAAGAAAAATTATGCCAATTTAAAAAATATGTTTATAATAATTATTGTAATTAATTATACACTTTTTATCAAGTTTGCACCCTGCCAAGATTAGCAAAACATAGCAAGTAATTGGTTCCTTTATTTTAATATATTTTGTTACAAAATGTCGCAAAAGTTTTGCAATTAATTGTTTATAGGACAAAAAAGGGTCAAGTTGTATAATTTTTTTCAGAACGGAAGATTTTTTCACAATTATTTTGTGTTATGTTAATAAACAAACTTGATATAAAATGTCTAATAATTATTATTACTAAAATACTCCATAAAGTTTGCATACATTTTTTCAAGTTGCGTATTTTCTTTTAAGCATTAATAATTTTTACTAAGTTAACAATAATTTGGTCAACGGAAAAGGCTGCAAAACCGGATTTATCATTCTTATATCTTCTCCAATGTTATCTTAAATTTTGAAAACTTTCGCACTTTATTAGACCTTTTAACAATTAATTTTTTTTTAATTTCAATTAACATAATATAAAAATAACATGTTTGTACGGGGGTTACCAAACTTGGGGGGTTAAAAGATCATATGACCCCGTGGCCTCATTTCAAATTTCAAGGTTATATTTTAAAAAATGTCTGTATTTAATTGCCCATAATAGGTAAAAAAATAAATTAATAATAAGTAATAAAAAAAATATGTTTGACCTCTGACCCCATACGGAAGTGTAACTGAGGGTCACCAAACTTGGGGAATCGAAAGATTACATATATATGTAATCATATGATTTTATGACCTTACAAATTTTAACGTTATAAGTAAAAAAAACCGCCTTCTCAAAATACCTACCCTAACCTAAAAGCGTTCTGGCTATACAAAATCAGCAATACTCATGTCTGGCATAGTTATATTCACAGTTCTGACATACAACAGAATAATTTAACCAAGAGCCAGAAACGAGCAAATAACTTAATATTAATTTTTTTTTTTACAATTTTGAAAATTCTTTGTTCATTATCGCAGTAAACATTAAATGGCAGACTTTTATTTTTTGCTTTTTTATGACCCAATTAACATTTTGTATAAATTTTATTGACGAGCAAATCATTTAAATTTTTATATATCATAATTAAAAAAAAAAAAATTAAATACTCATTAATGCAGAGACATACACGTCTGGCGATGATATTTATCTGAAAGTCTTGTTAGGGACTTCAAGTTAAAAAAAATGCCAGACGCGAGCAAATGACTTAAGGAAATTTTTTTTTTTACATATTTAATTACCTACTAATTAATAATGCAGCAATAATGGTATGGCAGAAGTTGTCATTAGTGACTTTTATAATCCAAACTTCATTATTTTTAACTTCTGCCACGCGAGCAAATGACTTAAAAATTTCTGCCACCAGCTCCCTAACTAATAGATTTAATCTATGGTTTTATTAGTCCCCTTTAGGGACTCCCTGTATTTTTTTCTATCCAGTCTGACGTAAAACAAATAACGTATAACTTAAAGTAACAAATTTTGACATTTAAATTTGGCATTTTCTAACATTTTTGTTTGTTGTCATGATGATTAAGGGTCATTCCACGTTACTCGGGGATTTTTGTCCCGCCCGTCACAATTAAAAATAATTAATAAATAATTAAAAAACTACACGTTATAAAATTTATTTAAAAATATTGTTTTATTATGCTTTTAATAAGTTATAAGCACAAGAAATATATAATTATAAAATATTAATTTTATAACTTGTGGTTTTTACTCACAATTTTTTATTGTGACGGGCGGGACAAAAATTACCGAGTAACGTGGAATGCCCCTTAAGAATTAAACTATTACTTTGTTATGAGGCAATGTTGCCATATAAAGAAAATATGACTCCCCTGTATCTTATTAAATGAGGAGCATTCGTGCAAAACCCGCTAAATCCATTATATTCAGTTTTTGTTTTTTTTTATTTCGCATCTTTGGGTTCATCTCTATCGACAACCAAGAAAATTCTGTTTAAATCCGACATATCCATGTTAAAATCACATTTAAAAGGTAGGTTTAGGAGCAAAACCGGCCAAATCCACGTTTTTATAGCAAACCCGGCTTTATCCAATAAATAATAATATGTGGCTAAATTTAATTTGTTCTGTTTTTTCATGTTTGCACTAAATTTATTTTGTTAATATTTTTGAATAATAAAGGTTTTTTTTCACGTTTTATTCGTTTTTAATTCGGTTTTCGAGCAAAACAGGCTATATACAAAACATTTTTTGAAATTTTGGCCTTAATACAGGGTGTTTCATAATATATGCGCAGGACTTCAGGATGTGATAGCTCATCCAAAAAGATGAAAAAAGTCGCTATTAACTTAACCCTCTGAAATGCACAATTTTCGCGATACAGGGTGTTGAAATTTTAGAAAAAAAATCGTTTTTTTCGAATATATCCGGAACCGTTTATCGTACAAAAAAACAGCTTTTGTAAGCATTTTCTACTGATAATAAGCTATGTTTTGTGCCAGAAAATTTGTTTTTTACTTATAATTGGTGGAGATTTTGAAGGGGTAGCGGGTGTTTTTCTCCTCAACTTCTACGCCCCTGAAAAAAGTACGGTTTTGAGAGGCCCATTAGAACCGCCAAAAATTGACTTGTAAATCAAGCACCACAAAGCCCACAAAACTCAAGTTTGCTTTTTCTTTTATTTGTAAAGGCCAAGAAACCGAGAGTTTTGCCATTTTCCCAACATTTTATTAAAGTGGATATAGCCGGTTTTGCACGGATGCTCCTCAAATAATGAAGAAAGAATTTTTTAAACAATTTTCTGGAATTCCTGGTGGTTTTTAGATAATACACTAATTGTGGGACACCCTGTATAGAGGAATAATTTAGAAAATTATCGAATTTTTCTTAAAATTTCTGATAAAGATAGAACTAGAGATTTAACGGTTCGAAAAAAACGGGAAAACTTTTTCGTATTTTTTTTTTGTAAAAATTGAAAAAAATATCCAATCAAACCGTAAACCTAAAAATATATTAAAATAATGTGATGTATGAATACAAACTATATAAACATATTTTTGCAGACTTTTTCGGGGATTTACCGAAATGCAGACGAAATTCGCGGGTGAATTACATTGCCTCGACAATTTCTCAGTTTTGTAAGAGGCACTTTTTTATAAAAATAATTTGTAAATAATATTTAAAATAGTAAAATTTAATGGCATAAAGCAATTTTAAAATATTTTTTTGAATAAAAAATTTGGGCAATTTTAAACCTCCAAAAGGAATACCTATAAAAATTGTGTCACAATAAAATAAAAATCGTTTTAAAATGGTGTGGTAGAGGGTCTGCAAAAAAAAAATTCCAAAGTTTTGGAATATTAAATAGTAAATAATATGATGGAGACTGAATGATATATACGATTCTTCTTCTTACTCTTTACTCTAAGGTAATTGTTACAAAATTAAAAAATCTACTGCATTTTGACACTTACCGTATCTTACAAACAACTGCCTGACGGTGTTTAAATGGTGCAATGCGTCCAAACGAGGATCATTTGTAAAAGGTTTTGTGAGCAAACACATGTCAACGTCGCTACTGTCCAGACCAAACCCTGACATAGTGGAGCCCACCATAAATAAACCGTAGCTGTTCAAGCACTTCTAAAATCAAAAAATAGGTATAATAACCAAACCTTTAATACTCTAAAAAACAACAATTGAATCGCTTATTATTAAAAGGGAATATTTAATTTTTTTACATTTTGAATTACAAACCCATTTGTGGGTGGACAAGACGAATTGTTTGGTGATAAAAGGATAAAGTATATGCCACAAATTTTGTGGTCTAGGCTCTTAGATAGTTTTATCACCAAACAATCTGTCTTGGCCACTTTAAAAAGTTAAAATAGGTAGTATTACACTTAAATTGTCAAAGAATTGACTTGGTCCGTTAAAATAATAAGCGAATCAATTGGTATTTGTATTAATATAACTTATTAAGTTAAGTCAATCGGAGTAAAACTCTAGGAAGTAGAGTCTTTGTTTAAATTTACCCAAAAACTAATAGGGTAAAGTAGACACTTTATAGTTATTGGACAATTAACATTAATACTGTTAAAACAAGAGTTCTATAAATGTTTACCTTAAAGTCAAATTATTAGATGACGCTGTATACAATTATCAATATCTCAGTCGGTAATAATACAGAACTACTTTATTTTGGGTCCAATATAGGACAAAAAAGTTCGCACTTTACTTTGGTGGTGAGATTTTTGTTTTTTTGTTGAGAGCAGGGCTGTGTTTAAATTACAATAAAAAATATTTCTAAAAAGTGTACAGATCAGTGTGTGGTATAAATGTGTTCCTCGTGGTTTAAACATTGTCACTTTAATGCGTTTTAATTTTAATTCTGAAAACAAACAGTAAAATGGCCAGTGTCCAGTATACTGGTTGGTAAAAAATGTAAATTTCTATTATTGGACAATATGTCCAATATCAAACTCTATTTGTATCCCGCCCAATTCTTATGTAAAATTGTCCCCTAAATCCGAAAAGACCGTCAAAAACTTTAAAAGTTAAGCTCGCCGAGCGACAAAGTAACTAAAACGCTCGCTTAGTTATTTTTCATAAAATATTATTCCTGATGAAAGTGTTTGCTTGATTTTAAAACTACAGAATATGCAACAAATTTTAAAATTAAAAATGAATATGTACATTTTTTATACCTAAAACTTTTAATGCAAATCGCTTACCCTTATAAACAAAAATATGTGTCGCCACAAGTTAATCTTCAACTCGTACGTGCTCTCTTTCTGCGCCTTGGTGCTGTAGACGTCCCAGATTGCCTGATTCAGAGTGTCCCAGGGACTGCCGGTGAGTAGGCCGATCGGACTCGGGTCGATCCGCATCGAATCGGAACGCGAACGGAACCTCTCGACCAAGCCGTGCGCCCTTCTCAGCATCAGGTCTGTACCGTTTCTGGGACTGGCGTGCTTCTGCCTCGTGTTTATGTAGTACCTTGAAATTTTAGGTGTTTTTTACGGAATATTGCTGAGGTTTTCTGTTTTACATTTCAAATCATCCAGGCTAAGAATATTAAGGATTCATACGGTACCGGTACTTCTAATGCTTCTAATTCAAAGCAGAAGTCAATCACTTATTTTTTTTTTTTTTTTAATTAAAACGTATTTTTTGTAGATTTTTTATATACACAATAAAAATGTATATAAACAATCCAAAGCAAAAAAGAAACACGGAAACGTTTATTAAAGATTAATACACTGCGCGTCAAAATTAACGCATAATAAGTAAAAAAAAATATGAAATTTTGTATAAAAATACTTCAACTTATATCTCAGTTTACGTGTTCAAAGGTTTTTCGAGAAAATATTTTTAAAGCCCTTTTGTTTAATAATAAAAAAAAACGTTTGATAAATAACTTTTAGGGATTTTTTTTTAACTAAATAAAAAGTATGCCGTTAAAGACCGTATTTTTGTTAGTATACCCTGAAAATTTTGTACAAATCAAACTAACAGTACAGTGCTTCAAAGACGGTAAAAATGACCCCTTTTTGATTATTTTGCTGAAAAGTGGTCATTTTTGACGACTTTAAAGCGCTGTATTTTTGTTACTGTTCGATTTGTACAACATTGTCAGGGTATAGTTACAAAAAGATGGTATTTCACAGCATATTTTTTATTTACTTAAAAAAATTCCCTATAAGTTTTTTTTTGAGCGTTTTTTTATTATTAAGTATTTTTATCCAAAATTTTATAAAGATTGGTAAAGGCGTTTTAAAGTTTTTTTACTTATTATGCGTTAATTTTGACGGGCAGTGTATTTATTGCTTTGTTTTTCCTTGTAACTTTAAGATTTTTTAACTTTTTACTTGGACGATTTAAAATGAAGTTAACTTTTCGCATAAAAAAATGGGAAATAAAAAGTTAAATTTCAAATTGGTTAGTAAGCTTTTGTTAGTTATGATCACATGCTGTTGTTAAATAAATTAAACAAATAACAATACCCAACATAAATACAGGTGTGTCCCAAAATGACGCCATATCGCACATAGGTGGTTATTATAAGCTTAAAAAAGTAAATTTTTTTCTTCAGACGAATAAGTTTTAAGCATTATAAAACTTGGTAATGCTGTGTGTGGGATAAACTGAAATATTACAAATTACATCTTACAAAGGCTGTATTTTTGGACCGAAAAAACGCCACATTTTTACAAAATACAAGGCCTACTTAGTTTTTAAGAGTAAATTTTTAATAATTTATATTAGCGATTTTTTTAAACAAAATCTAAGCACGGCACTGGATTCTCCACCCCTCAAAACGACCCTATACTAAATTTTATTGAATTTTTTTAAGTAAAGACGATTTTGTAGCCAAATTAAAAATATATTTATAAACAATAATAACTATTTACAAAAAAAAATTCTTTTAAGTTATCCATGAAAAAACATTGAAATAAAATTTAACTAATAGTTACATGGTATGCTTAGTTTTGACAAATAAAAAACGCAATAGAAACTTAAAACAACAATGAAAAAAAAAAGAATTCAAAAAAATCCTTACAATTAGATTTTTGTCACCTTTACTACACAAAAACTATAGTCCAGGAAACAAAGATTGTAGAAGGAAAACTCGGGTTTTATTTTTTTCAGGGGTGATGATAATGAATCAAGAATATTCCCCAAAAATTTCTTTCTACGTCCCCTAATTTCATCCCCCGAAATGGGAGTTTTTTTGCTTTTTGGCTCATAACTCGCTAACCGTGCATTTTTTCAGAATTTGACCTCTAATACTTTTGATTATGTAGTAAATAAGGCACACGTTAAACCCCATTGCGCACCTATATGATGTGCCCTTTTGCTATGCGCAGTGTGCAAAGTTGAGCGTTGCTTTCAAAATCACTTTTTTGTTTTTTTTTTATTATAGCCCAATTTAAAAGTAATCGATCCCAAACCTTACGGTAATCAAACATGACCGAATGGACGATTTTTTGAGGTACTAGACTTTTTCAATAGTTACTGCTTTTCAATGTACAGGGGGTTCTTTTTTCAAAACTTTAATTTTTGCACTGAAATGAAAATAATTAAAAAAAAACTACGGATTCGTTAGAGGATAAGTGTACCTAAAAATCTAGGGTAGAACGAACTGGCTCATTAGAGCCGTTTGGAAATTAAAAAATTGTTTTTTTGAAAAAAAGAACCCCCTGTACATTAAAAAGCAGTATCTTTTGAAAAAAGTCTAGTACCTCAAAAAATAGTCAATTCGGTTATGTTTGATTACCGTAAGGTTTGGGATCGATTACTTTTAAAATTGGGCTATTATTAAAAAAAATCAAAAAAGTGATTTTAAAAGCAAGAGTTATGAGCCAAAAAGCAAAAAAACTCCCCTTTCGGGGGATGAAATTAGGGGACGCGGAAAGAAATTTTTGGGGAATATTCTTGATTCATTATCATCACACACAGACAAGCATTGTAATACTTGTGGCAACCTGTGCTATATCCCAAATTGTGGCATTTTTGTTAAAAACACCATAGATTTAGGACGCCATTTGGCGGATTATATTGGTACTTTTATTTTTGCTATACACGCCGATTACAGTGATCTGCACCCAACTAAAATTGTGGCAATCGTGCCATAAATCAGGAACATTCGACTACGTGTATGTCGGATGCCACAAATATATATGTGTTGGCCAAAATATATGGGGCGCCATGTGTTCCATAATTATTTCGTACGATATATAAAATATTTTGCAGGAAAAACTATATATAAGTAAAATTTACTACAATTTTGCATATATATTAAAAATAAAAGTTTTATATATATTGAATTTGGCACCATGCGAAGTTCGATATAAAACTTTTTTCGTTTAAAAAGTCCCCGAGCGATGGCGCTACCTTTCTTTATGATTTGTATAGTGTGTTGCATATACTTTATGAACGTATTCGAATTTAAAAAAAAACATCTTTCGCTCACGTTTTTTTTTAGATAACGGCGGTTGGTTTGTAATTTATACAGCTGTAATTATACTGTTCATCGATATTATTAATAAAAGGTAGGTATTTTAAGTAATTATTCTTTTAGAGAAAGATGTTTTTTTTAAATTCGAATACGTTCATAAAGTATATGCAACACACTATACAAATCATAAAGAAAGGTAGCGCCATCGCTCGGGGACTTTTTAAACGAAAAAAGTTTTATATCGAACTTCGCATGGTGCCAAATTCAATATATATAAAACTTTTATTTTTAATATATATGCAAAATTGTAGTAAATTTTACTTATATATAGTTTTTCCTGCAAAATATTTTATATATCGTACGAAATAATTATGGAACACATGGCGCCCCATAAAAATACACAGAGATGCCACAATTGTGCATGTGTATTCTTAGCAGTGTTGCCAAGTTTGGTATAACGTTGGAAGTTCGTTTTATGGTAAATTTCTATTTTACTATAAACATTTAAATTAAAAATCTTAACGGTTTTAAAATTTTAAAGTGCTCGATTATAAAAAAATGTTATTAAACTATTAAAATTTAAAATAGTATGTACCCCTGACTACATAAAAAAACCGACTACCATCGAGTTTTCCTTCTACAATCTTTGTTTCCTGGACTACTACGGGCTTGGGTAATACAAGCCTGCGTAGCCATTACTGTAGAACAATATTTAATAGGTATAAATGTGTATTGAAATAAACGTTGGATTAGTAGAGGTGGCTAAAATCTAATTGTAGAGATTTTTTTGTTTTTGTTTTTATTATTGCTTTAAGTTTCTATTGCTTTTTATGTGTTAAGCATACACATATTTATACAATGTTACTATTAGTTTAATTTTATTTCGATGTTTTTTCATGGATAACTTGACAGAAAACATTTTTGAAGAAATTGTTCAATAAAATTATCCTTTAGAGGGGTGGTGAATCCAATGCCGTGCATAGATTTTTTTAAATCGCTAATATGAATTCTTAACAACAACCTTGTGTTTTGTAAAAAATATGATGTTTTTTGCTCGCACAATAAAGACAGATGTTACAGATGAACTGAAAAGGAGGAAAAACAAGTTTTTGAAAAACAGAAACAGAAGTTGAATATGTCTTTTGTTAATTAAAATAATGATAAAAATTTAAAAAATATATATTCCAAATTTTTCATCACACAAATTTTCAATTAAATCAAATTATCCAGTATTAATTACCAAAATAAATTAATCTACAAGTAAATGCAGTTATTTTACCCTTGACCAAAGGATTTATCTTGCCAGTGTTATGGAATTGTTATGGATACCATAAAAATGTTTACAAACAATTTTTATGCAGTGCTGAAAAATTTGTTGAATAATATAAATAAAACAAAAACTTTTTGTTGTTGTATTATTTTATGTTGAAGAATGGACAATAAACCAAAAACTTGCTTTTTTTGTATTATTTCAATAATCACACACTTACTTTAGCAAACTCAAAAGAGTCAGAATACTTAACCAAAAAACAAAAACACTGGCAGTGACAACTATACAATTAAGGTCAATTCACATTACTATCGAATTTCTAATTTTCAATTTTAGTATTAAAAAAATTGATTATTACAAACGGTTTTTTTATTTGATTATATTATGAGCTCCCCCACACGGAAATCTATAAATTGACTTTTTACAAGACGCACAAATCGTACGGGCATGACTACGGGAGGAAGGAAGGAAGGCAATCTATAATTCAGCTTAATTGTAGAAATCCGATAGCTATGAACTATCATGTAAATTGACCTTAATTGTATAGTTGTCACTGTCATTGTCAGTGTTTTGGTTTTAGTTTAAGTTTTCTGACATTCTTTTTAGTTTAGCACCTCTAATCAAAGATTATTATCTTTGCCTCTAATCATTCTGCTAAAGCACTCCTGTGATTGGCTTCTTTATTTAATTAATCGCTGTGGCTCCCGTCCCGAGGCGGGACTTAAGTTCAGTCCCGATTGACGTCATAATTTTAAGATTTGTTATGTTATAATAAAATAATAATAAATTGTACCTGTATACATGTTAAGGGCACGTTAGTTACATCATAAAACCAAACCAACCCAAACTCAACAACACAACCCAACCGACCCCGCCCCATTGGGAACCCCCCCCCACCCCATTGAGCAAAAAACCCAACTAAAATGGGCAAATTTATGTTACGATAAAAATAAAACACTTTTTAACAAAGAAACAACAAATTTATAAAATAAAAAAAATAAAAAAAGTTTGACAACTTCTAGTAGAATCGAACCCGGTACCTCTCGCATGCCAAGCAACCGCCCTACCATCTAAGCCATCCAGCTTGACACCAATTATAAAACCTAGGGGAATAAAAACGGATTTACAGTGTGTGACGTCTGTCGGGATCGAAGTTAAGTCCCGCCTCGGGACGGGAGCCACATCGTTAATTAATAACTAATTAAGGGCGAGTCAGATCTAAAAACGCCAAACTATACGCCCTAGAAATATTTTACCCTTTTTTTAACCCTCTGTATATAATCACGTGGTATGGTTTAGTGTATCATTTTCGGGACATCCTGTATACTGTAGTAATTTTGTTAAAATTAATGAAAAAATAAATGTTGGGTAGTGCAAGCAATTTTACAAAAAATCAATATTTACTATTCATTACATTCCATTAATGATTAAAAACAAAACAAGATATATTGTTTTTTGGTAAAATTGAACCCACCTACTTATTTTTCTGAAAAATAAATATAATGAAACAAAACATAAAATAAAAAAAAATCCTCCAACATAAAAAACGTGTACTCCAAAGCAACTTGTACGCTTTTAATGGAACTTTCAATTTGACAATAGACATAAATCAAACTGAAAACACCACAACGAAAATGTTACCTATTTTTGACGTAATTTCCATTATTTTGTGTATGGTATACACTCGATTGGTACACGTTAGGCGTACTCTGACTATACTTTCCAAAAATTATTGTCTGATCGCCTAGGCGACATATCCCATTATTTCTTGTGCAATTATATTTTACTCCTTTGAGGGCAAAGAAAAGAAGATTTATCATGAAACTTGTTCGACAAAAACATTATTATTGTGTAGCCCTGTCACTCTAGGTGGAGTCTCTGTATATTTTTGTATTGGGAGAGCCAGTTTAAGTTTTATTAATAGTCACTGATTTTTCATAAAAAATTAACACCCTCACTTTAAGGATATTGGATTTTAACAGATATACAGGCTTTTTCAGGTTTTAGTAGAATGCCAATGTAGAAAGTTATTTAAAGTTAAAAGGTATATTTCAATTTAGGTTTAAACTTTATTAGACATGGGGCCCACATCAAATTTATGAGTTTATATTGACATTATATAGACAAGTTCTGCGCAAGCAGAATTCAAATTGAAGTTTGCGAAAAAAAAGTAAGTTTTTAAGTGTGCCCTCCCAGCCTCCTGCCCCCCAAAATTAAGATAATTCAAATAAAAGTGGTGCAATATTTAATTCACTGTTTATCACAAGTTTATCGACAAATTTTATCAAAAAAATTCAAGTATTACAGATTTTATACCATTTCTATTTTTTATTAAATTTAGTAAAGGAAATATCTAAAATTTAAAATGGTATAAAACCTGTAATTCTTGAAATTTTTTAATAAACTTTAAAATTTGTCGATAAACTTCAGTGAATTAAATATTGTACCACTTCAATTTGCATTATCTTAATTTGGGGAAGCAGGAGGCTGGGGGGGCACACTTAAAAATTGTGGACACAGTGTCGTAGAAACTTTAGGCTTATTGCCCCATACAAACTTTGAGGTTAGGTTTTTATAACATTTGATGCAATTTTTAGATTACACAGTTTGGCTACCATTAAAAAGGTGTATCTCTCAAACTTCGATAAAATAAACCGTTTCCGAGTTATTCGAGATTACAATAATTGTTATATCGCATAAAAGGATTAAAAGGTATATGATAACAAATTTTGTTTTTTAATTGAAAAAACTAAAAAGGGCATTCCATGAGCCTGCCCTGACCGTCAAATTAATAAAATTGTAGTTTTTTCAATTACAAAATGTGTTATCATATAGGTACCTTTTAATCCTTTAATGAGATATAACCATTATTGTAATCTCGAATATCTCGAAAACGGTTTATTTTATCGAAGTTTGAGAGGTACACCTTTTTAATAGTAGCCGAACTTAGTAATCGAAAAATTGCATCAAACAGTATAAAAACCTAACCTCAAAGTTTGTATGGGACAATAATCTTAAGCAACCCCTGTTTCTATGACACTAGTGTTCACTCGAACAATTATAATTGTGTGAATATGTGTTTTGGTAGTAAGTGAGTGTTCGAAAAATATCACCTTTCCAAGTCTACCATAATAAAAGTTATATTAAAAAAACTGATATGATAAGTAACACTTTATCACCCTGTAATTAGGAAAAATATTTATTTAGATTTTCGTCTTATTTAGACTTGCTTAATCTGCTTCTAAATTTATGCCACTAAGTTTAGGGACACCTTGCATTATAAAATAATAAAACGAATTTTACACAAACATCATATTATAAATTTATAATAATATTATGATGTTTATGAATTAATTCACGTAATTTTTTTAAATAAAATGAATTACAGCAATAACTTGTCAAAGAACACTTTTTGGGCAATTAAATTAAAAAAATGGTTAAATATCATCAATGGTGTGCTAAAAAATATTTACGTTTTTATCATTGTATTTAATAGTCGCCTAATTTCAAGTAGGCGCCTAATTTCGGATAGTGGTGTATCTTTGAAACTAATCAAATCATAAAACGGAATAAAAATTCGTTTTGATATTAAAATTTGTTTCTTTGCAATGGATTGTATACTAGCCAATAGATAAAGACTTACAAAATTATTTTATCTAAATAATTTTGATTATTTTGAAAAGGTATCTGAAATTAGGCGACTTTTCTCTACCTTAACAAGGCTTAATTATTTTTTTAAAACTGACAGACTGGTATAAATATTTAAAATAATTATAGACCAGGGTCGATAATTTTTTAAACCAAAAAAAATAACAGTAGGATGAAACCCATTGGAAAAGGAGAAGAATATAATAAAAATGAAAGGAAAAATAAATTACGGGCGATCTGACTTCGGGAAGTGGGAGGGGGGGGTTTTAAGGGTAAAAAATGGTTTATCTCGATTTCCGGCAAAACTACAAGTCCTATGGAAAAAAGTTAAATGGCAAAGTTGTAGGTAATAAAAGGATCTACAACTTTTGTAATTACAATTTTTTTACATAACCTCAAAATTTATGTGAAAAATTCAAAAAACCAAGTTTTTGGTTTTTTATTTTTATCTTTTTCAAAAAAAAAATTTTTTCCACGAAATTTGGTAAAAACTTACCTTTTTATGTCCCAAATACACTGTAATTTATTTGATTTGAAATATTTATTATTTCGCCTTATTTTGACTTAATATCAAAAAAGCACCCTAATTTTCAATCGAAAATTCTCGCGTCAAAATATCAGCTTTTTTCAAAAAGTCGGTGTGCTTTTTGTTCGTTGAAATCTCTACTTTCTGATGGTGTAAAAAAATATATACATTACTATGGTAAATGTTCTCAGAAAATGCAAAAAATATTATAATGAATAACGAAAAAAACTCGAATTCGAAAATTTATTTTAATCATTATGTACAATTTCATCAAAAAAATGTGATTGTTGCAATTTTTTAGTTAAAAAGTTTATTTATTAAATTCTAATAACATTTATGTCAGAAAATCTCATAAAATATAAAAATACATGTAAATCATACTATTGAATTTAGATACTTCATTCTGATTACGTTATTCATTATAATATTTTTTGTATTTTCTGAGAACATTTACCATAGTAATGTATATTTTTTTTATACCATCAGAAAGTAGAGAGTTCATCGAACAAAAAGCACACCGACTTTTTGAAAAAAGTTGATATTTTGACGCGAGAATTTTCGATTGAAAATTAGGGTGCTTTTTTGATATTAAGTCAAAATAAGGCGAAATAATAAATATTTCAAATCAAATAAATTACAGTGTATTTGGGACATAAAAAGGTAAGTTTTCACCAAATTTCGTGAAAAAATTTTTTTTTTTGAAAAAGATAAAAATAACAAACCAAAAACTTGTTTTTTTTGAATTTTTCACATAAATTTTGAGGTTATGTGAAAAAATTGTAAATACAAAAGTTGTAGATCTTTTTATTACCTACAACTTTGACATTTAACTTTTTTCCATAGGACTTGTAGTTTTGCCGGAAATCGAGATAAACCATTTTTTACCCTTAAAACCCCCCCCTCCCACTTCCCGAACTCAGATCGCCCGTAATTTATTTTTCCTTTAATTTTTATTATATTCCCCTCCTTTTCCAATGGGTTTCATCCTACTGTAATTTTTTTTCTCTTTTTACCATTTTTAAAGGCTTCTGCACTGGTCTATTAAAAAATATTGATTTTATAAAATTTCATTCATTCTTCAAATGATTATTGTATAAAATTTACCTTTTAACAAAGCAAGATATCAAAAAAACTCAATTAAAGAAACAAAAAATGAAGTTAATAGACCAAGGGATTCTTTATTATTATTATTTTTTTTTATTATCAATTTAACCACTACAAAAAAAGTTTGATTAGACTTGAGTCTTAATTAAGACCACATCAGGAAAAATGATCTTTTTGACTTGAGTCACCTGGTGTAGCTTTAAAAAACAAAAATCGGTACCTTAGAATGACAAGGTTCTAAGTACAGCTGCACTGTTAAGCGAAAGTGGGAGGCATTTTTGCTTTAAATGATGATAAAAAAACTTTCAAATCTGTGGTCATAACTGTATCTCAGAAAGTAGCAATATTTGGACATAGCAACTTCAGTTAAAATAACTTTCTACATCTGCAACTAAAACCTGTAATATTCTAAATATTGAAATGCAAAAAGCAATTTCCAAAACCGTAAGTAACAGGGCTATTTAAAAAGCATTTTTTAATGAAATTTGACCTATTTACAGAATGGAATAAGCATGAAATATTTTGCAGGGTTATATTACCTTTGTGTTCAGCTGGAGAGCCTGCTGATGATGAACAAGATGCACAGCTCTCGTCACTGTCGTAGCCCCTAGGGGAGTTGGCTCGGACATTGTTCTCCTTGGCCTTGTAGTCTTTTCTGTCGTTTTTGGATTTTCGATTATTGTTGTTGTTGTAATTGACGATTTTGTGCGGAGGCGGCGGCAACGTGTTGAATGGGACTTTTATATGGCTCGTTTGAATGTTAACTGTATGATTATTGTTGTACATTTCCTTATTGTCTGTTTGATCATTATTGTTTATTCTATTTAAATCGTTCTTTTCGAATTTTTTGTATCTGTTTAACGGTATGCTTAACGAGGATAAATCCAGATACATACTTTCTTTTAATAAATTATTTGAAGAAATTAGGTCTATTGGTTTATCAGTTAACATTTTGATTTGTGTCTGGTATGAGCTTATAACTTACTTCTGTTCACTTCACTTACAAAAGCATACCTGAAACGAACGCATATTCAGTTTTTTGGGCAAAAAATCACACATTTTTTGTCTTCAGTTTTTCTGACAGGTAGCCGTTTTGAGGTTAACCAATATCGGATAACAAATTACAAAATCGGCCAATGAAAATCGCAATGATTCAAACAAACGAATTTAAATAAGAAATAATCGACTTACCGTTGAAAAATCTAAGTAGTGGCGACGTGAATTTGTAATTTGACCTTTTTAGGCAACGAACAAAAATGAGACATTTACTGAAAAACCATTCGCAAACTTACCGCCAAATTACGCTTGCGCTTGTTTACACAGCCAAAGTTGCAAAACAAAAGTTACTAAAAATACATTGCAAATTCAAATCTTAGTCCGATTTGTTTCTAAATTTAAATCTCAACTACTTCTAGTAATTACCGTATGTTACGTTCACGTGTTTTTATAGACAGGTATTATGATCTGTGGGAGTAGGTATTGGCAAGGTTTTTTAAGAAGAGGCAGAAAACTAACAAAATTCTTTATTTAACATACAGAACTAAATCTATAATTCGAGAACAAGAACGATATTTACAAGTTTTAATTCAATAAGTATTACATTGGTACCATCTATTTGCATCAATAATATGGTCTCCTTGGATTATTCTGAAACAAATAATAATCTTAAAAATAAAACCAAAATACATTTTTAGTTTTAAATTTTGCGAAATCGTCAAAATTTTGAAATTTGGCCACAGCATACTGTGATTAAACAATAAAGTAACGTGAAGTTTGTTTTGAATCTTAAAAATAAAACTAAAAAACATTTTTGGTTTGAATTTTTTTGCGTAAACGTCAAAATTTTGAAATTTGGCTACAGCATACTGTGATTGAACAATAAAGTGACGTGTAAGTTTGTTTTGAATCTTAAAAATAAAACTAAAAAACATTTTTGGTTTGAATTTTTTTGCGTAAACGTCAAAATTTTGAAATTTGGCTACAGCATACTGTGATTGAACAATAAAGTGACGTGTAAGTTTGTTTTGAATCTTAAAAATAAAACTAAAAAACATTTTTAGTTTGAAATTTTGCGAAAACGTCAAAATTTTGAAATTTGGCCACAGCATACTGTGATTAAACAATAAAGTAACGTAAAGTTTGTTTTGAATCTTAAAAATAAAACTAAAAAACATTTTTAGTTTGAAATTTTGCGTAAACGTCAAAATTTTGAAATTTGGCCACAGCATACTGTGATTAAACAATAAAGTGACGTGTAAGTTTGTTTTGAACCTTAAAAATAAAACTAAAAAACATTTTTGGTTTAAATTTTTTTGCGTAAACGTCAAAATTTTGAAATTTAGCCACAGCATACTGTGATTAAACAATAAAGTGACGTGTTAGTTTGTTTTGAAATAAACCTAAAAAACATTTTTAGTTTGTAATTTTGCGTAAACGTCAAAATTTTAAAATTTGGCCACAGCATACTGTGATTAAACAATAAAGTGACGTGTAAGTTTGTTTTGAACCTTTCTTCTAAGTTTTGAACAGTGCAGCCATTTTTTCTTGGTTAAGGTTGCGTAAACGTCAAAATTTTGACATTTGGCCGCAGCAGCTGTGATTAAAAAATAAATCAAGGTGTACGTTTATTTTGAACAGTGCAGCCATTTTTCTTTGTTAAGGTTGCGTAAACGTCACAATTTTGACATTTGGTCATAGCATACTGTGATTTAACGTTAATTTGAGGTGTGTTTTTGTTTTGGGCCGTGTTCAGCCAGAGCATTCCTGATTTTTCTCACTTACCAATGGATTAGGTCTAAATCTGTACGCCAACATCATTCTTTTTCTGTACGATTCGTATTCGTCTCCATTATCTTCATCTGACTCGATTAACCCTAAACCTTGGTTTTGGTCTCGCATGGCGGCTCTAACAAAAAATAACATTCCTGCTATGGAAAAAAGTTACAAAACTAAAGCTTACTTATTTACTGGGTCAACGATGCCAGTTCCGCTCTGTCCTAGGCCCGTGCCTTCAGTCCATCCGAGTTTTTGCAGCATTTTAAATCCGATGTTGTCCTCCTTAATTTTAAAGTCTTTGTAATCAGAGAGATTTAGTTGGCGACCTTCTTTGGCTGCGCTGGATTTTTCCATGAATCTTTTGAACTCGTCGGGAGGTAAAAAGTCGCCTATGTGGTGTTTGCCTTCGGCTTGTCTATTGAGTTCTTGCACCCATAGCTGAGTTGCCATCATTTCCTAAAAATTAATATTCTTTTTTTTAATCATATAACATATGATTAGACAAGCTAAAGTTCTTTTTTTTTATCTGAACTGTGGCAACTAGGGTTGAATGAAAATTTCAACTTTGAAAGTTTCAAACTTGGAAAAGTGAAATTTTTAAAAATTTCAAATGAAATTTTCAATGCGAAAATTTCAACATTGCCCGTGAAACTTTCAGAAGTTTCATTGAAAGTTTCGCAATTTACTGAAAATTTCGCATAAATTTCACATGCGGCCTCCCCTGGGACCTTTAATAATAATTTACAACAGATTCCGAATCGACCAATAAGAACGAGTTATCAGGCGTCTGGGCGTTTTTGTTTTGTTCGGCTTGGATTTGAATACACTATAAGTAATTATTGTTACTTATATGCATAAATTAATTTAAATAATTTAATTCAGTTACCAATTTAATTTGTAAATTAAATCAGACTTTAAAATATTTTTAAAATTCATGATTAATTTAAACTTTTACTTTTGCTATAATTGCATCGGAAAACGGATGAAAAATGTCTTTGGCTCATAAAATTTTGAAGAAGTTTCTTCAATTTTTGTAAAATTTCAGTAAAATATATAAAAATAATAAATATAGAACAATGAAAGTGGCCCAATCTCGTTAGCTTATCAAAAAGTGCTATATCTCTCTTAGTTTTAGTAATTTTAAAAGGAAATCTCAAGAAATTTGTGGTAAACATAGGGGTTTACTATTTATATTATTGGAGGTTAGGGGCCCACAGAGGGGTAGGAGGTAAGAGAGGCAATTTGTCATGGTCCTCGAGTGGGCTTATTTCAATATATATAATATATAACACTTAAGTGATTGAAATTTATTGAAAGTTTTAATAAATTTCATAAATTTTGGAAATTTTAATAAATTTCATAAATGTCATGAAAATTTCAAGTGAAATTTCAAGTACAAGCAAAAAGTGAAATTTTCCCAACCCTAGTGGCAACGTTGCAAATTTAGGGTTTTGGTTGGTAAATACAGTTGTCAAGTTGGCATTGATTAAAACAAACTAAGCTAGTTATAAATCTAATTGTGGTTATGTATAAATTATTGTAGGTTACATTGTGCAGTTGTCAAGTTGAGTTGTCGAAATTCGTAGTTAAAAATGCAATTAATTTGGCTTTGGCGGTGCTTGGATGAGTAAAATCATATAAAAAAAAGTAGTTAAATATAGGTTGCTCTACGGCCCAGAAGAGAAAGTATTCCTAGCGGATAATTATCTCCGCTTTGAAAATTTATACCTTAAAACATTAAGTTACAGGGGTGCGCTTATTCTCAGATACACCCGGCATAATTAATAATAATCCTATTTACCTCTCTAACAGCTGTTAAAGGTAACAAAGGTCCATTATTATCCCATTCTGCCTCAAAATAGCGTATTAAGGATGACACCAACTCTTGACTCCGACTATTAAATTTTAAATGCTTCGGCATTTTAAATATAGGAAACAAAAAAAAACGATATATAACAAACACAAAAACGGCAATGAAAACTTAAACGATATAAAATAACACAAACAACAAACAAAATAAACGAAATAATACACGAATTAAACGAAATATTCAAAAACACAACTGACAGCTTCGAAATTCTAAAACGTCAAATTCTTTTTTATGTGTCATTTAAATATGAAAAATTTGAATGTAAACATGAAAACATCGCAATTGTTGCCAACTGAAGATGTTTAAAATGCATTCAAATATTCAATTACAGACTTCGATTTAGTCATTTAGTGTTGGTACCAATGCGTAAAATTTTTGTTTTATTGATGACGTGTACGTAGTTTACTTTTAAATTTACTATAGTTAACTACTTTTCTAAAAATAATCGTATTTTAACTACTTTTTTTTAGCTAGTAGTTATACTCGATTATTTTAGATTTTCATAAAATATTCGTAAAAAGTAGTTAAAAAAGTAGTTAACTGCTCAGTCGTAACTACTTTGTATAGTTAAACTACTTTAATATATTTTAACTACTTTTATATAATTTAACTACTTTTGAGGTAGTTATTTAATTAATTTCCTAGATATGCCATGTGCATGATTGTATCCCTGCAGAAACAGGTTATTAGTTGTTGTCAAGAACTTGTTGAAAACCCTTCGTCTAGCGCATTTTGTCTTATTTACTACTGTTATTGAGCAATCCTACATTTCGACAAGTAAAGTGCATAAATAAAGAATAATTATGTCTGAAATTGATATTTTTCAGGAGGTAAGTAAAAACGTAAGATTAATTAATTAATTTTCCAATGATTGGTTCTTCAATCTCCGATTAACTTAATTCTTAAGAGTCCCTGCAACTTTGACTCAACCTGTAGTTTAAGTTTAAAGAGTGTTTTTTAATTGCCGGTTAAAAGATTATTATAAGTATATTGTTGAATAAGTTACGCCAATTTCCATCCTTAAAATCTTGGATATGTTCTGTCCTTAAAATACAATAATTGTATTTATTGTATTTATTGGTGTTTAAATTTATCTGGCTAAAATTAATTTTTATCCGCTTAATTTAACTAATAAACGGGTTTTAACAATGATTAACAAGTGGGTCCCGTAGCACTATAGTTTCGCTCAAAAGTGCGCAAAAATACAAAAAATTAATTTAAAAAAATGACATAAAACTTTGTTTTTTAATAAAAGATTAAATTCTCAAGCAAACATATTTATAATTTTTTAACATATACTTTAAATTAAAATAATAATAATATTAAGTGATTTATTAAATTTTATAACTTTGAGTTATTTTGCCATTGGTTAAAAAAAGTAGTTAAATTTTTAACTACTAAATACTTGTAGTTAGTAATCTAACTACTTTTTTAATTAGGTAGTTAGTAGTTATACTCCACTACTTTCAAGTAGTTTGCCCAGCTCTGGGTAAAGTATCTCATTACAGCACCGAAAGCGGTGTTATAATGAAGTCATTATGAACGCAAAATAGATAAAAATATATTTATAGACTCATAAACATGGTTTAAAATGTGTTTGTAACCTTCTAAGATGGGTTTTGAACATCTCAAAATACAGGGTGTTATGTAATTAATGTTATATATTAAAATGGGTTGTTCCTTAGGGTCCATAAAGAAGCACCTGAAACTTTTTTTTCCTAAATTCCAAAGTCTAAAATTAATTTATAATAACCTTTATCCTACCAAAAAGTACGCCCCTGATCGACTAGGAACTTTAGGTTAATCTGGTGGATTTATTATGTTATGGTTGGTAACCAGTGTTTCCAAAATCTCTCAAAAAAGTTGACAAACATTGTTTAAATTTAGCTTAATTACAAAAATGACAAAATTAACAATGCAAATTGTCAATTTGGCGTTTTTATTAATTGTTGGTTATTTCATTTTTGTACTGAAGGTAAATTCAAACAAAATCTGCCAACTTTTATGACAGAATCTAGTGCATTTCTTTTAAATTTTAGGTTATGTTTTCAAATTGTAAATATCTTAACTAAGGGAAGTGCTTTTGGATTTATTTACACAAATTAAATGTTTAAAGTTTAACCTGTGAACTGGTCCCAATTTCATCTGAGTAAACAGAGAAAAAAACTGATGAAAAAATTAATTTTGTGGTTATGGATTTCAAATTTCAAAGGTATTAAATTTTCTAATCATTGCTTAAGCTAATAGCTGGATCAGTAAATAAATACAGAAGGGTATTAGAGCTTTAAGGGCATATTTATTGAGTTTTTATTTATTTTTTGCAAGAAAAATTTTTAGTAACAATTTTTTACATCTGGCAACGCATAGCTACTTTGTTGGTTGGTATCTATGTAATCACAAAATACAGGTGTGTAGAGATAAACAAGTGTGTAACCAGTGGCGTATCACAAAAAATATAAAAAACTTCTAATTCATATTTTTTCTTTATCTTTGGAAAAATGTTTTTTAAAATATTTTTCCTTTATTCCTTATGTCAAAAGGTATTCAGTATTTTAATATATAACATTAATTACATAACACCCTGTATATACAAAATACATTAAAAGTGCGTCTTTTTACAAAATATTGTTCTTACTTTTTCTCTTAGTCTGTGCTCCCATGTGCCCCCGTCAATTTCCTCGTCCGAATCATAATCATATTTTTTTCTGCCTTGTGCTTCAAGCCTTTCCAGTTCTTCGCGTTTCTTCACCATGTCCTGGTACAATAAGTTTATTTTGTAATGATCTTCCGCCTTTTTCCAATCTTCTTCAGTTAAATTCGCCGATCCGAACGTGTTGACAGCGTACTGTACTAATGCTGGATCGGTACGTGATATTTTTGACAGCATAACTAACATTTATTGAAAAAATATTAATTTAACATTTAATTTTAAAACCCTTATAACTTATAGAATTATACGAGAGATAATGCAGGCTATTATTCACAAGGATGAGGTTTGCATCTCGAGACTTCAGGCGAGAGACGTAAATCATCCGAGTAAATAACGCGCATTATTTCGAGTGTAATACTATGCTTTTACTAAACTATTTTTAAAGGGTTAAAAATCCTTCTTTTATAATTTTTACCTTTGCTTCCGGTTTGAAGAGCAGGCGGTTGAACAGGTATAGTGATTATTGGAGGAGGATTAATGTTGGGATCTTTATCACCCCATCTGCTTTTTCTTTTGCGCTTATTTCCTTGATTTTCCATATAGTCATTCTAAAAACAAAAAAAACAAAATTAATTAAAATTTAAAAATATCATCTGGTCAATTTTATACCTGTTAATATTATAGTTAAGTAGTATTATTTTTATGATCAATTGTATACCTATTTATTTTATAGTCCTAGGATGACATTACAATGTTACAAATAATGTCCATCCTTGATTGGCTGTCAACCCTAAGGGCGGGCATAACTGTTTGCCTACGGCGCAACAGCCACTTGATTTAAGGGGTATAACTTTCACTTCTTTCACATTTTTTAAGAGTCAATATTAAGCAGTCGTAAGATTAACATGTTCGCTTCAGGATCAGCAGATCTCTGGGCAACATTTTTTATTGTACATAGTTAATAAAGTTGTGTTATTTTAATTAAGTGAGTGTTTCAATCAAATTGCACAATCATCAATAATTCGTGATCCATCAAGGATTCAATTTACAACCTCATTTATGGTTTATCAAGCCAGTTTAATTCACAACAATTAACGTCACAACAATTCACAACATTTTTTGGTCCTTCGAACCGGATGTGGGCAATTAATTGGCAACAGTCTACATCTACATAAAAGTGGCATCAGCTACAATCTACACAAATCAATCATCAACGTAGCAACAGTCTACATCTACACAAAAGCAATCATCAAAGTGGCAACAGCCACAATCTACACGCAGCAATCATCAAAGTGGCAACAGCCACAATCATCGAATTGGAAACTTTCACAATCAGCCGATAAAATCCGGTGAGTCCACCAATTCCTTAACACTAATCCTTATAATTTATTGCAAGTTTCTATTTGTGCCATAAAGTTTTTTAATCGTACGAAACACTTAATATTTTTTTACCACTGGTTAAATCGCATTTATTTAAATCAGCCATACAAGCATTTTTTTTTTTATTTTTTATGTTTGCTACCTGCACAATTTGCACTATAAACAATGGCGGAAGCAATACAAGCATTAGAGGTTTCATTAGATACGGCAAAAAATCGTTTAAAGGAAACGCGAGACATTGCTCTTCAAGCAGAGACTGATGACACTGTTCACATACCTTTTAAATTTCGATATGAACAAATTCAAGGTTTATTTAATGAATTTCAACATATTCAGCAACAAATCTTGACAAAAAAAATTAAGGCTAAAACATTTGACGCGGCTGAACACGAAAGGGCTAGGGTAGAGTGTGATAACTATTATTATGCAATTAAAACTAGTTACGCGAAAATTTTTGGATTAGACAATACGGCAGTCGAAACGGTCAGTAATGGTTCAGAGTCTAGTAATGACGTAACACGGGAGTCTAAGTCCAATGTAAAACTTCCTAAATTACAGCTTCCTATGTTTGACGGAACGTTTCAAATGTGGTTATCGTTTCGAGATTTATTTCACAGTTTAGTTCACAACAATACTTCGCTGTCAAACATGGAAAAATTTCAATATTTGCTGACCTCGCTTAGTGTCAAGCCAAAATCTTTTATTAAATCTATTCCAGTCGCGGAAGAACATTATATCATGGCATACAATAAATTAATGGATGAATACAATAATAAACGACGTTTGGCAACGGCGTATTGGGATCAAATAATGGCATTTCCCAAGGTATACAACGAATCAACGGGTAGTTTAAAACAACTTATCAATACGTTTGACGAAAACGTTGAATCATTGAAATTGTTAGGCTTTCCTACAGATGAGTGGAATTTTCCTTTATTCAATATTTTATTAGTTAAATTAGACACAGATACAAGAAAAGCGTTTGAATTAGAATTTAAGTCGGTTGAAGTACCTACGTATTCCGAACTTAAAGGTTTTCTCTTAGAGTACAGTAACGTTTTAAACAATTCATGTATTAAATCAAAAAAATTACTTCACGAGAACAATCAAATAGTCAATTCAAGAAATTTTGATCAAAGAAAACAAGTTCGTTTTGCGGCAACAGCGTCTGAACATTCAAAAAAATGTTTCTTGTGTAGCAAGCAAATTCATCCCATTTACCATTGTCAAGATTTTTTAAATTTATGTCCTTTGGAACGTCATAAAGTCATTAAAGGGGCTAATCGATGTGTTAATTGCCTGAAAGCAGGTCACAATTCGAACGCTTGCATTTTTGGACAATGCAAGCAATGTGGCTTAAAACATAACACCCTCTTACATTTTCCCTCGAAAAGCAGCAGCGTCAATAACGATAACCGAACCTTCACACATTTCTCGGAAGATCATTCTAATCCCTCTAATTCTAACCATTTAACCACTTCATTAGGGACAACTTTTACAGGCAATGTGTCTAATATCACTCAGGGTGGCCGGAAAACCATGACCCATATACCGAGGGACTCGGTAAAGCAGGACCGGGTGGCGCCTAATTATTTCAATGATTCGAGTATCGTCTTATTATCAACAGCTGTCGTCAATATTTATGATCGATTTGGAAACGTTCACAAATGTCGAGCTTTATTAGATTCAGGTAGTCAAAACAATTTTATAACACAAAGTTTAGCCAAAAAATTGCAATTGCCCTTGGAAACATATGAATTATCCATTGCAGGTATAAATCAAAGGGTGACACAAGTAAATTACCGTACAGAAGCGGTACTTAATTCAAGACATAACACTTTTGAAAGTAAATTACAATTTTTAATTTTGCCCAATATTACCAATCAGATTCCAATAGTTTCATTTCCAATTGATAATCTGCATATAAAAAGAGATATTTTATTAGCCGACCCAACTTTTAATCAGGCGGGACCTATTGATATTCTTTTAGGAGCAGGTATATTTTACCATTTATTGGAACCAAAGACAATGACCCTCGGCAAAGGGCATCCCATTTTACAAGAAACTAAATTCGGATGGATAATTTCAGGGCTATTTCAGCCAAAGATCGCAAAAGCTAAAAACCATATCTGCGCTATCAGTGTAAATGATCAATTATCCAAATTTTGGGAGTTAGAGGAACTCCCGTCGCAAAAAAGATTTTCGCGAGAAGAGCAATATTGCGAAAATTATTTTAAGGCCACTACGATCCGGGATGACAAAGGTCGTTTCGTCGTAAGGCTACCGTTTAAAGATTGCATGCACAAATTGGGAAAAACCGAAACAATCGCCGAAAAACGTTTAAAATCCTTGGAATATCGCTTTCAGCAAAATCACAATTTAAAAATTGCATATTGTGAATTTATACACGAATATGTTAACCTCGGCCATATGGGAATCGATAAGTCCATAAGGCCAAAATATTTCTTACCACATCACGCGGTGTATAAAGACAAAAAAATTCGGGTGGTTTTTGATGCATCGGCTAAGCCCGAACAGGGAGTTTCATTAAATGAGTGTCTATGCGTCGGGCCTACGATCCAAGAAAATCTCTTTGATATTGTGCTGAGGTTTCGATCGCACAAATATGTACTGGCAGCCGACATCAAAAAAATGTACAGGCAGATTTTAATTAATCAAGAGGATCTAAAATATCAAAATATATTATGGCGAGAAAACAACGCAGAATCAATTAAAGTCTTTAATTTAAAAACAGTCACGTATGGCACGGCATGTGCACCATTTTTAGCTATACGGTGTCTCCACGAAATTGCCCATCAAAACGCCAATAATTATCCTGCAGCATGTAATACGATCATACGCGATTTTTATGTTGATGACCTCTTAACAGGTGCCAACACTTTAGAGGAAACAATGCAACTAAAATCCGATTTGACGTTATTGCTAGAAAATTATGGATTTGACTTATGCAAATGGGCTTGTAATATTTCACAGGTAAACTTAGGGTCAAGCGACACCGAGCCAACAGATTTATTTAAAAAATTTTACGCAAACGATACCGCTGTAAAAACATTAGGTTTATTTTGGAACGCGAATTCAGACACTATTCATTATTCTTTTAACTGTCAATCCACAGAATACCAAACTAATTTAACAAAACGCAAAATTTTATCTATTGTCTCAAGGATATTTGATCCGTTAGGGTTGTTAAGCCCAATCACTATGAAGGCAAAGGTTTTTATGCAAAAGTTATGGCAGCTCAAGGTCGATTGGGATGATAAGTTACCTTTAGAATTGATATCAACATGGCTAAATTATGTTGGTCAGCTACCACTAATTTCCAATATTGCAATTTCACGTCACTTTATATGCGATAACCCAACAATTGTGGAACTACACGTGTTTTGCGACGCAAGCGAAACGGGTTACGGTTGTTGCGCATATTTACGTTCAATAAACGATCATCTGTCAAATTACACAACTAAATTAATTTGCGCTAAATCAAAGGTAGCTCCACTAAAGAAAATAACCATTCCACAATTGGAGTTGTGTGGCGCGTTATTACTTTCCAAATTGGTACAACAAATAAAATCTGCATTAACAATAAATATCTCAAGGCAGTATTATTGGACAGATTCAAAAATTGTATTGGCATGGTTAAAAATTCAACCATGCTATTTAAAAACATTCGTTGCTAATCGGGTTACTCAAATAAATGAATTAACTAGGGTTACAGATTGGTACCATATTGATGGTAAATTAAACCCAGCAGATACTTTATCCCGTGGCGCAAGCCCCACGACTTTAAATAAGTTTAGTTTATGGTGGGACGGCCCACAATTTTTACACAATGATTTTGACCCAATTAATTATCAAATCTCCGAACCTCACAATGAAATACCTGAAATAAAAAAATCAACTTTCACTTCTTTGTCACTAGTAAACGATTATAGTATTTTTGATAGGTACTCGTCATTATTTACATTAAAAAAGGTCGTCGCCTATATGCTTAGGTTTGTAAATAATTGTAAAATAAACACAAAACGGAGAACAGGTGCTTTAACGATAACAGAAATTAATCAAGCCACTACGACCTTATTAAAGCTTGCACAACAGCAAGAATTTGCGGAAGAGATTCGTTCATTAAAACAAAAAAAACCATTATCGCGCCATAGTAAGCTTTTGCAATTAACACCATTTTTAGATCAAGTTGAAATACTAAGGGTAG